AGTCTCCATGATGGAGCCCATCCAACAAATTTAGAAAGGAAGCCGCCCGTCTAATTCGCGAAAGTGACTGCCCAATGCAGAAAACAAGCACAGTTGACGGAAATTTTGCTTGCTACAATTAGCAGCCCTGGCGACACCCGACTAGGCTTGTATGGGGATTGCTGCGCTGGGCGAGCACGAGTTTTGTGAATCGTTCGAGATGCAGAAGAGGTGCCCAACCTGGGGGCTGTCGCGGGCAGTGGCGGTGTCGTCCAGGGGCGAGCTTTTCGTAACCCCTCGGGTGCTGCTTTTTTCAGCCAGCACAATGACAATTTCCTCCAATCCACTCGGCCACGCCGTGGACCATAATGTCCAAATCGTGCTCGAACGACAGAATGGTCATGCTTTGGGACTGTCCATTCTACATTCATTCTCAAACGGCCGGTCTGGTCAGGCCACCATGAGCTGAACGGCGTCCTACTGAAACATGCCTTCCTTTATGAGCAAATTAGAATGCGCAAACCAAGCCCAGTTTCCTGATTCGGCAGTTAGAATCCCGATCGGGACTTTGAGGCAATGAAGTCAGGGCGGTGGGCTGTTGGTCAGCATTTCCGTCTCGTCTTTGTACCTCCCACCCAGCTCGATGAAGTTCCGAGTCCCCGCTGGTCGAGCTCGACAGGTCACTGCGGAAGGCCGGATACAAATGTACGACATAATCTTCACGATGCCTGCTTGACGGGTTCCACTTGGCCCTTAGACACTCGCAGAGAAGAGGAATTAAAGGCCTCCCCGTGCCAGGTAAACCTTGCCCTTTGCGGTTATGTACTACACTACGAGGGTAAGCATGTGTCTGGGTGTGAGGGCCGGCTGATTCGCCGAGCTCATCAAACACAAACCGTATATCGCGGCAGGCGTCGCGTAGGGATGCTTAGGTGGCTGGGCCGTATAAACTACCAACTGCATCAAGCTTGCCACAACGGCGAGCATGAACACAGTCACCTGGGCGGCCAGATCCACGCATTTCCTTAGCCCCTTCCTTGCAAGATTTTTAAAAGTGGACCCGTTATTTGCTTCATCGTATCCCCCGAAAGAGTTTCCGCAGTGTAAGAATAATAATCTTTTAAAAAGCGAAAGAGAGAAAAAAGGCAAAAGGGGCTGATTAATTAATAGCTAACGCTGGCAAAAATTGGAAGGAGTGTGGACGAACAGGGGATCGAACCCTGGACCTTTCGCATGTTTGCATTGCAAAGCGAATGTGCTACCACTACACCATACGCCCGATTGGTGATTTGACATTAGTCATGCTCGGTGCTTGGGTTAAACGCTGAGCCCACAAAACAGTTACACTATTTGTTCCTCCATAAACCACCGCCGTTTCCTGCCATCACATCTCCTATTCCATCATCTTCAAGCTAGGTCAATCGCTATTGAGCTACGCGAATTGAATATTCCGCTCCTTGACATTTTAGAAAAAGTTGGTTAAGTTGGGGTGCTACCAACGCAGGAGCAGAGATACTTGGGTGGGCATTTACTTTTCGGTAACCGACTTAAGGATATATCAGTTGCCCCTTTTCAGAAACATCTTTACGCCCCTTTAAAGCGCTACCTGTTATACTCCGTGCTATGATGCATGTGAAGCGGTACGAGATGACAGGCTGCACCGAGCCATTGAACCAACCTCGGAAACTCTCCCAGCGATTGTTAGGGACTAGTCGCCTAACCAGCCCTTAGATAGGCATACAAGACCGTGGCTCGCGAAGAGGAACTGCAAAAAGCCCGAGGATAAATCTCCGGCTTTGGTCATAGGCCATTGGTGGAGATTCTAAGATGGATAGACAAGTGCAAGAGCCCGGCCGACGAGATGGCCGATACAATCTTCGACCAGCTATTGTTCAACACGCCGTGGAGTTGATGCAGCCTAGCCGCAGACAAACCAGGAATCGGGTTCAAAGGCATCGCCAGCTCAATGCACGAGGCGTCGACGAGCGAGTCCACATTGAAGTTATTGGGCCTATCGATGGACCTAAACCACGCCGCCGGCCCTCAGATACATATAGTACGAGCCCATCACCGGTACTGCTAGGACATCCCAGACTGAGGTGGTTTCGTGACTGCCTTTGTTCCATGTGTGCTAGAAGCTGCCCACGGCCGCTCCGCCAACCAATACGCGATGTCTCCCTTCGACTCATACATCCATATCGCTCAACTCAACCCCTCGCTATTTCCCTTGGCAAACCGACACAGCCGACTTCCGTTCGCGATCTCCCGACTCAGCGCCGCAATGCTCTTGTTGCCCATGATGTCCAGCACTGCAATGTCGTAGCCGCAGTCGGAGCCGATGTAGTTGCGGAACTCCATGGCTACCAGCGAGTCGACGCCGTACGCGTGGATCGGCCGGGCGGCGTCGATGTCGTCGCGCGGGATCGTCATGGTCCGCGCCAGCCGGCCCACGAGCGCGTCCTGCACCAGCGCCGCCGCCGCCTCGGGCCCGTCGGCAAACTTGAGCGCGTGCGCCACCGAGACGCCGCCGTCCTTGCCGCCGTCGTCTCCTCCCCCTCCGGTGCCGCCCACGGACCGCAGCTGCGTAAAGAGGGGCGTCTTCATGAAGGTCGGCTCGGGCAGGCCCCGGGACCTGAAGTCGGCCGAGGTCGCCAGCCCGACGGCGACCTGGGCGCCCAGCGGTTGGCGCGAGGCCCGCTGCGCGTCGAGGTGGAACTCGATAAAGCTCAGGAACTCGTCCTCGCGCACGCCGTCGTGGGCGAAGAAGAAGAGCGGGTTCGCGTTGAGCGTCGCCGCGTTCTCTGCAATGTAACCGACGCCCAGGATGTTGCCCAGGTCCAGCGTCGAGGCCGCGAGACCGCGCGCGCGCCGGTGGGCGGCTAGCGCGTCCTGGAACGTGTTGCCGGCCGCATAGTTGGCCTGGCCCCTATTACCTACTAGACCGCAGATGGACGATAGCATAACGAAGAAGTCGACGTCAGGGGGAGTGTGCCGGTGCAGGTTCCACGTGCCCCGGACCTTGGGCGCCAAGGCCGCCTCCCAGGACCGCTGGTCCATAAACTCAAAGGCCGAATCAACGAGCTGCATGGCGCCCTGTATTACTCCCCCTATGCGCGGGAACCCGTCGCGGGAAGCCGTGTTGAGGGTGGTGGTGAGCTCCGCCTCGTCGCCAACATCGCACTTGGCCGCCCGTGCTCGCACGCCCATGCCTTCGAGCTCGCCCAGTAGCTCCCTGGCGACGTCGCCATCGCCGCCAGACCGCGACAGAAACAGTATATTCTTGGCGCCCTGTTGTGGCTGTGCCATCCACTTGGCGATAGCCCGTCCCAGTCCGCCGAGGCCACCCGGCAGCAGGTAGGTGCGGTCTGGCCGGAGCCGTGTGGGGACGGGCGGGCGGGGCACCACCTTAACAACGTCTGCGGCGTCGGCGGTCAGGACCACCTTGCCCATGTGCTTACCCTGCTGTAGCAGCCGGAAGGCCTCCTCGATCTGGGCAAAACTGTAGGTCGTCTGGGGCATGGCAGCATGCACTTTGCCGGAAGCAAACATGTCGAGCACAGTCACCAGGATGCGCGCCGTCGTGGCCGTGTCCAGTTTGGTGATGGTGTAGAGGTCGCAGGCGGCAAAGGTGACGCTGCGGCTAAAGGGGAACATATCGAGCTTTCCGTTGGCGAAAATGTCACGCTTGCCAATCTCGATGAAGCGCCCAAACGTGGCGATGCAGTTGAAAGACGCCCGGAGCGCCTCGCCAGCAAGCGAGTTGAGGATAACATCCACGCCCCTACCGTCGGTCATGCGCATCACGCCAGCTGCAAAAGACAGGTCGCGGCTGCTGAAGATGTGCGTCTCAGGAATACCGTAGTGCTGCATAAGCAGCTGCTTCTTTTCAGCCGACGAGACGGTCGCAAAGACGGTGGCGCCCATGTTTTTGGCAATCTGGATCGCGGCCTGTCCGACACCTCCCGCGGCGGCATGGATCAGCACCGTCTCGCGCTTGCGTAAGCGAGCTACATCGCACAGGCAGTAGTAGGCCGTCGAGAAGATAACGGGGATGCCGGCGGCGTCTTCAAAAGTCATGCTATCGGGGATCTTGGCGGCAATGTCGCGCGGGATGCGCGTGTGCGTCTGGAAAGTGCCGTGCAAAGCTGAGAGCACCAGCATCCTGTCGCCAATCTGGACATCGGCCACGCCCGCGCCGACTTTGGTGACGACCCCCGCGCCCTCATGCCCAAACGTGGCCGCGGCAACCTCTCCCATGGCCACCATGACATCGCGGAAGTTGAGGCCTGTGGCCTTGATCTCAACCTCGATCTGGCCCGCGGGCAGCGGCTCCTGGTACGCGGGCCAATCGACAAAGTGCAGCCGGTCTAGCCGCCCCGGAGCAGAGGTGCTTAGCATCAGGCTGCGGGTGGGATCAGCGCCCAGGGCCTGCGGCTGCGGAGGCAGAACCGTCGTGCGTTGGGCGATGAAGCCATTGACAGGCTTGGCGGCCACAAGCCGGTTGATCTGCAGCACGTCGCCCGACGATACGAGATACTCGGCGTGCCGGTCCGTGGGCGGACAGTGGCCGACGAAGTGGTGGCTGTACACGGTCTTAACATGCTCCACTGAAGGCGTGCGTAGGCCGAGCGTGACGAGGTCGGCGCTGTCGAGGTCGCGCTCCCAGCGCAGTGTACGCACCAGACCGGTTATCAAGGCCATGTCGGGGCTCTCGTATGGATCACCCGTTAGCCAGAGGAAACCGCCGGCCGTGGTGATGAGCTGCCGCAGTGTCTCGAACTCGTCAGGCGTCATGGCCGAGGCCAGGAGCGGCGAGAAAAGCTCGAGCGCCACGATTACGCACGTCCGTTTAAGTGTCCCCTGCTGGGCGATGTCGGCAAAGGCCACGACCGAGACGTCGGGCACGGCGCCGCCGATGCCTCGTAGGGATTGTGCTAGGTCTTCGGCGAACAGGAGCTGCGCGGGTTCTAACGTCTGCGCCACCACAAAGACGCGCACAATTTTGTCTTTCTCATCGATCGGTGACTGGGTGAGTGCAGCCGTGGGGACTGTGGCGATGATGAGACTCTGGGCGTGCAGGTTGGCCTCGGGCGTGTCGCTCAGCGCCAAGACGTTCTCGGAGAAGCCGTTCTCCCGCAGGGCGCGAACCCATCCCTCATTGCTCAACAGCGGGCCCCAGGGCCGGTAGTTCTCGGTGCTAAGCCACCAGCCGGGCAGTTGGCCGAAGCACAGGGGGCCGGCGACGAATTCGGGCTGCGTGATCTCCTGCAGCAGCAGCTTGCCGCCGGGAGACAGGAGGCGCCGTACGTTGGCTAGCGTTTTGGCTAGGTCTGCTGTGGCGTGCAGCACGTTGGCGGCGACGATGATGTCGTAGGCGCCGTCATCGAACCCTTGGGCCTCGATATCCTTTTCGACGTCAAGCACGCGGAACTCGAGTACGCCGCCTACCTTCCATTTGGCGAACTTGTTCCCGGCTTTTTCGAAGAAGCCGGCGCTGATGTCGGTGTAGGTATAGCGCAGCAGTCGTGCGTCGCCATGTGCGCGGCCACCCCCTGGGCACAGCGCCTCAAGCACCGCAGTCGACGTGCCGCCCGTGCCGGCGCCGATCTCAAGCACACGCAGGTCGGCGCCGCGCTTGTGACCCAGCAGTCGCAGATACGCGCCCAGCTGCGTGTGAACCTGTTCTGTACCCAGGATGACACGGTAATACTCTTCGAGCAGGTCGTCGAGTCCAAACATAAGATGCAGGGCGTCGGCGCCCTCGAGCCCGCGCAACCCGGGCACAATGTTGCGCCCCATGCGCGCGGTGAGTCGACCTTCAGGACCACCGTTGACCTCGAAGTCTTCAAGGAAGCGCTGCCGCTCGGCCGGAGACCCCTTAATGGTCTTCCACGACTCGTCCTGGTGGATGAGACGGCCCTGGTGAAAAAATTCGGCCTGGTGTCGTAGCCACGCCAGGTAACGCTGCTGATGTGACGGGAGCCCCTTTTCGTCGGTGAGCGGGTTACGCTCGAGATCGTCGACGGCCTCGCTGATATAGATGGCGGCGGCTAGCTGTAGATTCCTGAGGCGCTCTAGGTTGGCCGCCCGCGCCGTCGGCGCCTCAACACTCACTACCTCCGACCGCAAAACTGCTTCAGTGGCGCCCGTTTCCTCGAGCAGGTCGACATCGGCCGCCCACTCGAGATCGAAACAAATTTCGCGGGCCTCGCCACCACCACCGGCCTGGGTTTCCTGCAGCGGCACGGCCTCGAGCCCGCGCAGCACCAGGCGGATGTCTCGGTCGACGGCCTCGCCGCTCCAAACGGTGATGTCAGCGCCAAAGCGTTTGTGGCTGGCCAACTGGGCGGCTGAATGTACAAGCAACTGGGCGCCGGCTTCGGCCTCTATGTCGGCGCTAATCCACACACTCTTAATGGCCACGGGCACCATGGGCTCCGTCAGTGGCCGGCCGTCTGACGTTGATGAGCCCTGAAAGGCGAAAAGGAACAGATGGATGATGGAGTCGAAGACGGGCGGGCACACAACATGGCTCGAAATCGCCCGTGCCGGCATGCCGGCGGCGATGTCGGGCACCACGAGCGTGCCCAGTGCCTGTCCGACGCGGCCTGTCACGCTCGGGTCTGCCATTTGCACGGCTGTAATGTTGCGGAATAGTGGACCAAACACAAGCCCGACACGCTCGAGGTCAGCATACTGGCGGGCGATGTTGGCGGACTTGTGGTTGCAAAGCGCCGTCGACTCGGCCAGCAGGCGTCGGTAGAGCTGCGTGCGTTCGGCAGCCTCGCGACCGGAGTCGATGGGCCCCGTGGCGATATGGGCCGACGAGTCCAGCTCGGCGGCGATCTGGCCGCGGCAGTGCTCCAGCCAGCTGCCGTCATGAGGGCTGAAAGACGTCACCTTCCACTCCCACCATGCGGCGCTGTCGGCCTGGGCCGACTCAGCCAGCCGGCGCATTGACAGCATCACCTCGGTGTCCTCGGCCTCCTGCACCTGTAGCGCGCGGGAAATAATAATATCGCGTAGGTTATAGCCGATGAGCACGCCGTCACCGCGCGCCTCATACAGCTGGCGGATGCCCTCGATGGCCATGATGAGGTATGAAACACCAGGAACGACGATGCTGCCTGTCACTATGTGATCTTTAAGCCAGGGCAGCTCCGACACGCGCAGAAAGTTACGCCAGCGGGGCTCCTCGGGATTCCAGTCGGGCACCGTGGCTCCCAATAAGTCGTGCCGGGCGCGCTTGCGGAAGCGCCACGCCTTGCTCCGTCGCGATTCGGACCAGTACTCCTGCGCGGGGCCATGATGGAATGGGTAGGGCGGTAGGTCAGTCAGCACTGCTGACGAGCTGCGAATTTCCCTGTTGACAGCAGCGAGCTCGATGGGGTGGCCGGCGGCGGCAAGAGTTGATACGGCGTTGAGGGCCGTGACGGCGGCATGTTTAGCGCGCGTCAGGACCGACAAGTAGCGCAGCGCCTTGAGGTTGGGGTCACTAAGCAGCGTCTCGCGCACGGCGCCCTGCAGTGCGCCGTGAGGGCCAACCTCGACCAGATGCGTCACGGGTAGTTCGGCGCCGCCGCCTACCTTGAGCTGGCGTTTCGCGGTATTGGTTGTACAGAGCTGATGCACTGCCTGCTGGAACCGGACGGGCGAAACTAGGTTTCGTGTCCAGTACGTCGCCTGCGCCATTTCTAACACGTCGATGGCTTTGCCTGTGACCGACGAGAACACCTGCACCTTCTCACCGGCTGGTGCCTCGGCTGGTCGCGTCAGCAACCCCATCAGTTTCGAATACTCGTCAGCCACGGGTTGCATGTGGCTCGAATGGTAGGCCCTGCTAACGCGCAGCTTGCGGGCGAACAGCTTGCTCTTTTCGGCCGCGGCCTGTAGCTCGTCGATTTTGGCCTCGTTGCCAGAGATGGTCAGACTGCGAGGAGAGTTGTAGCAGGCGATGACCAGCTCGCCACCAGTACCAAGTTTTCCGTCAACCTCCTTGAATAGGGGCGCCACGCTATCGGCCGAGCAGCCAACGGCCAGCATTGCACCCTTGGAGGGGGACGGGCGGCCGCTGACAACGCCGCGACTGTAGGCCACGCGCCAGGCGCTTTCGCGGTCAAGCGCTCCAGCAGCGTACGCCGCCGCGATCTCGCCGCTCGAGTGGCCGACGACGCGTTTCGGGGCCGCGCCCCAGCTCGCCAGCAGCTCCACAAGCGCCACCTGAAGCACGGTGCATAGCGTCTGTGACAGTAGCGGTTCGTCAACGCGGCTCGTTTCAGCATCGCGCTGCGTCAGCTCTTCCAGTATACTAAAGTCGCAGCCAACCGTTCTCAGATACGCGTCCGCCGCGGCCACGCTGTCCCGGAAGACGGCGTATGGTAGTAACTCTCGGCCCATGGCAAACCACTGCGCGCCCTGGCCCGTAAAGATGAAGCCCAGCGCCGGCTTGCTCGCCGCGTTAGTGCGGACAGCACGCGATTTGGTCGACGAGTCCTTGAGTGCAACCACAAGGGAAGCGTGAGAGTCGGCCGTGACGGCGACGCGCCAGGCAAGCCGCGAGCGGCGCTGCGAGAGGGTGTAGGCAAGGCTGGAGAGGTAGGCGTCGTCCTTGGGGCATGCTTCGGCCTCGAGATGTTTGGCGTACGTGGAGAGCACCCGGTCGATGCCGGCCTCGTCGTGTGCCGAGAACAGGAAGACTTTGTGGGTGCTGGGGAAGGTAGACGTAGGTGTTGCTGACTGCGCCGCTGCGGATGTTTCTGATATGGCCTCGGTGGCGTGGCGGCCTCCCAAGCCCCTTTGCTTGAAATAACTGGCGGCATCGTCCAGGACGGCGTGCGCGTTGGTGCCCCCGAAACCAAAGCTGTTAATGCTGGCTCTCCTGAGCCCGTCTGCGCCAAGAAAGGGTGTTGGTTCCAGCGGCAGTTTAATGCCCCATTTGTCCACAGGGATCCGGGGATTGCATTTTTCAAAGTTGATATTAGGCGGTATAATGCCTTTCTCCAACGTCAGTACAGTCTTGATAATCGCCGCAACACCAGATGCACCCTCCAGATGGCCATGGTTCGTCTTGGCTGCCCCGATCCAAAGCGGGGGCTTGCTTGCAGCACTGGGTCCAACGCGCTTGAAGGTAGAGGCAATAGCTCCTGCCTCAAGAGGGTCCCCAGCCGGCGTGCCAGTGGCATGGGCTTCGACGAAGCCCGTTTGGTCGAGGTCGAGGCTGTAGGTGGCGTAGACGTCGCGAATCAGGGCCTCTTGGGCGGCTTTGTTAGGCAGCGTCATGCCTCCGGTGCCCTGACCATCCTGGTTGGTGCCCGAGCCGCGCACGACGGCGCGGATGGTGTCGCCATCACGCAGGGCAGCGGCAACAGGCTTGAGTATGACGGTTCCGACACCTTCACCGCGCGAATAGCCGTTGGCGCGCGCATCAAAAGAAAAACACCGACCATCAGGGGATAGGAAGCCCAAATTGGACATGCGGTACATGGTCTCGGGCGACTCGATGACGTTGACTCCTGTCACGATGCTCATGGCGCTGGCGCCCGCGCGCAGGTCCTGGCAGGCCAGCGCAAAAGCCACCAGGCTCGATGAGCAGGCTGTGTCAAGCGTCAGGCTGGTACCCCGCAAATCATAAAAGTAGCTGACCCGATTCGAAATGATAGAGTTGCTCGTGCCCGTCGGCTTAAACTTGAGCACCACATCCGGGTCCTCGTTCATAACGGCCCGTGAGTCGTCCGTAAAGGCGCCCGCGAAGACGCTCGTCCGGCTGCCACGCACATCCTCTAGCCTTAGACCTGCGTTTTCAAGCGCCTCGTATACATTCTCCACTGCCAACGCCCCCAGCCTGTGTTAGCGAGATTCTGCGACCTTCCACATCTTCGAACCTGGGCGGCGATGCTTCACATACTCACGATCCGCTGCTGCAGGTCCATCGACATGGCCTCTGTGCGAGTGATGTTGAAGAATAGCGCGTCGAATTCCTTCCCATTTTGCGCGCCATCCTGCAGGAAGTGGCCGCCTTTGATCCAAGTGCTCCCGCCGTGATCGCTGCTGGGGTGGTAGTGCGCTTCCGCGTTCCATTTGGACGCTGGAACGGGTGACCAGGCCGACCGGCCCTCTACAAGCAAGTCCCATAGCCTGGAAGGTGTGGTGGCGTCACCGGGGAAGCGGCAGCCCAGCCCGATAATGGCGATGTCTTCGGAGCGCTGCACCGCCGTGTCGGCCTCAAGGAAAGGGGACATTGTTAAAGAGCTTCCCGAGCGGATTGGAGGGGGTACAGGATAAAGACTGTAAGGGAGTTAAGTGGTATGGTGGAGGACCTGGTGTCTCGAGGTTTATATCGAAGGCGTGACGCGTGTCGAGAAGAGGAGGCCACTTGCCTGCCGTGAGCCGACTCCAACCAAATCATATATGGATTCTCCTTGGTGGACTTTGGGGACTTCTGGGAAGTGTCACTGTTGCAGCGTAATTCTAGTCTTGACTCCTTGGTCGTGACTCGTCCCCTGTGATATGGATACCATCTGGGTGGCTTGCTTGCAATGGTCCTTTTCTTTTTCTCCCCCTCCTCTTTTGGCGCTAGGCCCCTCGATGGGATGGGCCTTACCGCGCATGGTTGCCCTAGGCCCTTGCGATGCTGTACTGCAACATTTGGACAAAGGAAGCTCTTTGGTGGCCGGCGTAAAGATGCCTGGTAGCCACTGATGGCCTCGTGACATGCCGTGTAAACACCTGTGTTACTTGCATGGCCCTTCCATATGTACTCCCAATGTACCCCGACCTGGCCCACCAGCTCCAGCCGCAAGGGAACAGTCTCCCTAGAGCTACCCGCTACGACGTGGGCAAGAGCGTCCGATGCCGGCCAAACAAGACGAGGAGGGTCGTAGAATGGCCGAGTGCCCGACAGACCTCGCACAGTCATGGGAAGGTCGGGAATTTGATGATGCCTTCCACCGCGCTTGCCCCTCTTCGCAGGCGGTGTGGAAAGATGATGGGGTGCGCCTGTTTTTTAGAGCAGGGAAGGATCAAGGATGGATGCTGGTGGGCGGGTTGAGAGAGTCCAGCTTTTGGCAGGTTGACGGGGCTGGATGATGCCAGAAGTGGACCTCAAATCAGGCACCTGACACGCGACAGCCTACCATCTGTAGGGGTAAAGAATGTTAACGTCCGCCGACCAGGGTCATTATGGGGTACAGTGCCCGCATAGTGTATTACAGTGCTTTCAACTTTTTTTTTTCTCCCGCCTTTCCTTCATTTTCCCAATTCCTTTCCGCAAAATACCAGGGAAGCTAAACCTGCCCAAAGCACGCAAAAAAAATTGTTGTATTTATACGCTGTTATATTTATGGAAAAGACCTTAGTGCTGCGGCTAAGTACATGCAAATGGGGGAAAACCTTTGGGTTAGGCCTAAGGAGGAAAAACCCTATGCCTGCGTTTCCGCCTTTTTAGCGGTGCGCTTCCGTAGCGGTATTAAACCGCTTTGGCTAACGCTTACTTTTTTTCACGCTCGATTGCTCGTAAGGGCTTCACCCGGGAATTAACCGTTTTCCCGCGTGCAGCCCCCTTTGCAAAGGGCCGATAAGGCCGCGTCCTGCTTGCTTGTAATTGGTTGGTTGGTTCGTTGTTCGATTTGCTAAGCTGGCCCTTTTGCCGGGGGGGCCACGAATTGGGTCCATTTCGGTTAAAAAGGTCCTTTGCCGGTTTTTTTGCTTAAATTTGTTTAAAGCGCTTAAAGGGCCTTCCTACGCACTTAACCTGGTCCTTTTAGCACCCGGCCCTTTTCCTTCCCGCTACCGTTTTATTGGTTTGGCTTTTTGCGTTTTGGGCTATTTGGGGCGGTAAGGTTGGGATTGGGGCTAAGGGCTGCAAAGGGGCTAAGGCTTGTAGCTAATATTTAAAAAAAAAAGGATGGTAATCGAATTCGTCGGTTTGTGCGTGCGTTCGTTGGGGTAAGGTTGGGCCTTTCCAAAGGCCTTCCCGTTACCTTTTTTTTGGCTTAGCCTTTTACATTTTAAGCTTCCAAAGTGGTGCGAAAGGGGCTGGGAGGGGTTGGGGTTGGAGGGGTCGGAATCGGATTAATTGTCGGAACTGTTAATTAATTGTGCGTGGGTAAAAATCAATTCGGGCGAAGCCCGTTAGCGGGGCGGCCCCTTTTTTTTTCCGGCTTAGCAAGGCGGGCGGCTAAAAAACAAAAAGTCCTTTGTGGTTTCGACGGGATTCGAACCCGTGGTCCTGGCGGGACCGGCCTGGTGCAGAGCCACTGCACCACGAGGCCACGCAAAAAAAATTAAAATTAAAAGGAATTTAAGCTAATAGGATAAATTAACCGTTGTATTTGCTTTCCCAGCCGGCTAGCGCGTTTAATCCCAATACTTTTTACATCCTTTGCATTTTGCGAATTTTGCGGAAAGGAAAAAGGAAAAGGACGCTGAAGCGCAATAAAAAAAAAAGTTGAAAGCACTGTAGTACACTATATGTGGACACTGTACCCCGTAATAACCCCCGGTCGGTGGGCCTGCTTTGACGCTCTGTACCCCTACAGATGGTGGGCTTGGCCGTTACCAGGTGGGTGGTGCACACCCCGCACCACAATTAGTGTGGCTTTTAAACTCAACACCGATAGCCGTTACAGTTAAATTGTGCTAGCTAAAATGGTGTCGGGAGTCTGGATAACCTCCCATTTTAATTACACACCCTGTACATTGGTGTACAGGTAATTTATACGTGTGCACGGTGTTGAACCGTGTTGGGGCTGCAGGCGGGGCAGACTAAAGCTTGGGTCGGAAACAACCACCCACACTACAGGGAGGATATGAACGTTAAAAGTGCGGAGCCCTTCAGGGATCCTCCCACAATTAGGCCATGTCTCCAACAACACTTTTTCCCACAGAAAATCCTACCAAATCAATGTATCGCTACCCGCACCTCCATTGGACAATACATTTGGTTTCTGCTACAGATTGTGCGGTGGCCTGTGTACCCCTCACGCATGCTTATCCCTGGTAAACCACCCTGGAGGGCTCCGCACTTTTAACGTTTAATATCCTCGTGCCCTATATAGACAACGGTCGCACCTAATCCCCAGCCCAACAACACCTGGCTTACCCCGCTGGTTCCCTAAATATAGGATACATTTTGGAAGAATAAAGGTTGACTTTAGCAGCAGTCAAGAACACGAGGCTGGCGTCCCATCTGTTCCCGCTGCCATAGCGTGCGACTAATGTCGCGGAGCCGCGCCTCCTTCCGACGAACAGCTCAATGATCAACAATGTCGGGTGCCGCCACGGCGGGTTTGATGGGACATCCATCCCAAGCCTTAGCCGACGCTTGCGACGACCCGCAGCCCCAGGCACACCTCGCTCTCCCTCGGAACGAAATTCCCCCAGATGCACTACCACCTACCACAACCAGTAAGAGCCCGTTTTGTCGGTACCCATTCCGTTGTAGTGAGATTGGGAGGGGAGTGGAAGTGCCGTGACTCGGTCGCTCATCTCGAATATCTCTCATGCGACACTTTTGATGGGGATACGGAATGGTGAGAGACCGGGGAAAAAGACCCTGGAAGCGAGGAAATACCCTTAACTACGGCAAAGATGTAGGGGCACGCGCCCGAGCGACGGGACGGCTACGGTTGCCCGTCGAAGCCAAAAGCGTTGTTGTTGTATGTTTCAATATTTCCAGTCGACGCAATAAGCCTTCTCGCCGTGTCTCTCCTGTACTGCGTCCATCCTATAGGACCACCTCGGCAAGATGAAGGTTCTTTGCTTGCATGGGCGGGGCTCCAACACAGAGGTACGTGAACCTATCGTTGTTACATCTCAGGTGCCCTATCAGCAGATTCTAACAGTACGATTGCACATGCACATGTAGATCTTTCGTATGCAGACAGCCGCCATACGCAGCTTTCTAGAGCCAGAGTACGAATTCGAGTTTGTTGAAGGGCGCTGGCCGCATCTCGAAGGCAACTGGTCCGTCCACACAACGGACTTTTCCAAATCCAAGGTACGTGATACACCCGGCCTTTGTTGATCCAGATGCTCACCCGACTTGCCAGCTCTACGGCTACTACAATGGCCTGAACCTCGATGATATCCTGGCCACCGAAAATGAGCTCTGGCAGATTATAGAGGACCACGGGCCGTTTGACGGCATCCTTGGCTACTCGTACGTATCACATATCCATCTCTCCTGTGAGTTCCAGCAGCTGGCTTACTCACGCACCGGCGTTGCCACCTCGGCGTAGACAAGGGGCCACACTTGCGGCACAGCTCGTGATCCGGTACATGATAGAGAACCCGTTTGCGACGATTCAGGAACTGCCGCTCAAGTTTGCAATCTTCATCAACGGCGCCACGCCGCCATGCGTGTTGCCGCTTGCCGGCGAGGAGCTTTTTGACTGTCCGCTCGACGAGTTTGCTGAGGCCGCCCACCTTTTCAAAGTCTTCAAGCCGAACGAGACCGACAACCTCACCAATCTGCGGCCCGCCAAACTGGCCAACGGCCGCAAGGTGGTGACAGACGGCGTAAACTACATGACGCGCTACGACCCGGCGTGGGACGGCAAGGTAATATCCATACCGACGGTGCACATCCGCGGCAGAGGGGACCATAGTGACTACGGAGAGGGTCTGCTGGACCTGTGCGAGCCGGACCTGGCCGAGGATCGCCTGCACATCTACGGCCATGACTTTCCGCGGGGGAGGGACATGAGCATGATCATCGCCCGACTGATACGCAAAACGGCCGATAAAGCATTTTGAGCATCATTTTTGTGACCTAGGAACGAACCACGTAATACGAACAAAAGCTTCCGTGTCACTGCTGCACCAAGACCATGTTAAGGTGGGCATGGGAGCTGCCGGAGCCAAGGGCCCGTGGCTCCGCAGGGGGTTCCCGTGGAGTGGATACGATACCTTACATCTGTTCTGCACGCTCTGGGCGGCAAAGGGACCGCATATGCGCATGCAAACATATACATAGCGATTCCATGCCCCAGCCCTTCCTAACATGCCCAGCACGCCGAAGATGAGACTAGGCACTGGCACCTCGGCACCTAATCCAGCGCCACAGATTTGATACCTCTAAACAACAAAACTAACGGCGAGTAAGAGATGGTGCAGGTCGGGCTTTCCCGGCTCGGCACGGAAGCAGCCGAGATGGCCTGCGAGAGCCCGGCCGTTTTAGCCTTTCTCGTTGTTCTGCTGCTCCTCGCGTATCGGATACTACACTCCGGCTCCTCGTCTTCGGATATCGATCAGCTCCCCATCCTCAACGCCCGCCCCGGCGAGTTGTTCCCCCGCCTCCGGGCCGCGTGGCGCAACACACTGGACCTGAAGGGTGCGCTGGCCCTGCGACAGGCGCAATGCCCAGACGCCACGGTGCGCGTGCCCTTCGCCGTGGGCCATCCGGGCGGAAGCGTGGTTTTGCTGCCGGCGCGCGAGGCCAAATGGCTGATCGACCAGCCCGAAAGCGCGCTGAGCATGCACAAGCAGACGGACCAGCACTTCCAGGTCGCGCACGGCACCATCTACCCCATGCCGGACCAATCACACGTCAAGCTCGTGGCAACACGGCTGACGCGGCAGGTCGGGAACCTAGTGCCCGCGTTGGCCGACGAGCTGGCGTGCGCGCTGGCCGAGGAATGGGGAGCTGGTGAAGGCGATCATGGTGATAGCCACGGCTGGCGGGAGGTTTGCGTCTACGAAACGCTGCGCCTGGTCGTCGGCCGCGTCACCAACCGCGTATTCATAGGGGCGCCGCTGTGCCGCGCGCGCGCGCTCCTCAACGCAGGCGTCGCCTACGCCCAGGCCATTCCTGTGGCCGCACAGGTGCTGAGCCTGCTTCCGCGTATGCTGCGGCCCCTAGTTGCGCCCTTGGTAACGCTGCCGAACCGCCGCTATGAGCGCGCCTGGTTCCGGCTCGCCGTGCCCGAAGTCGAGCGGCGGCTGCGGGCGTTGGACGTGAACGACTCTGGAAACTACAAAAACGACGAGACCGCCCCGGCAACAGCAACGGGCGACTTTCTCGACTGGGCCATCGCAGATGCTCTCATATCCGCCGACCTTATCCAGCGCCGCCCCGAAATGCTCGCCGCGCGCGTGCTCCTTGTCAACGCGGCCGCTGTGCACACCTCGGCCTTTGCCATCACGCACGTCCTGCTGGACCTGGCCGGCGCGGGGCGGGACCGGGGCGCGGCGTACGTCGATGCCCTGCGGCGCGAGGTGGCGGCGGCGCTGGCGGCGCACGGCGGCGTGTGGAGCAAGTGCGCGCTGGCGGACATGCCGCGGCTCGACAGCACGTTCCGCGAGAGCCAGCGCCTCAACACGGTCCTAGCCGTCGGGCCCCTGCGCATTGTCAGCGGGCCCACGGGCGTCGTGACCCCCTCGGGCGTGCGGCTGCCCCCCGGGTATCAGGTTGGCGTCGCCGCGTACGCCATGCATACGGACCCGAACATCTGGGGCCCCGATGCTTGCGAGTTTCGGCCCTTCCGGTTTGTTGCAGACGACGGCGAATATAGTGGTGCTGTGGGAGGAGCACGCTCAGCCGAGGCTTGGGCCACGACCAGCGCGCGCTATCTCTCCTTCGGGGCTGGGCGTAACAGCTGCCCGGGCCGATTTTTTGCCGCGGCCGAGCTTAAGCTGCTCCTCGCACACATTTTGTTACACTATGATATCGAATTCCGGGAGCAGAGACCGCCGAACCAGTGGTTTGGATCGAACCACCTGCCACCGACCAAAGCGGCTATCAGGATTAGGAGGAGGGAGAACCCCTTCTCACTCTCAGGGGCAGCGGCATATCCACACGACTAGATATTTTATTGCTCAACCACTCGGTAATTATCCAAACGCTTGGAACTGCCAAATTAAAAACGGCTAGCTGCAATTGCTTTTTCTTTCCTGTAGATCAAAGACTTACATCCTGTCGACAGCTCGTCTTGTGGGAAGAACCCTGTGTTTTTCGTGGGAGTGCTCTGAGATCCTCAAACACTCGTTCAGGCTAGAGGCTTCCCTAGGTCACTGACACACCGACAAGGACTGGATCTGACATGGAGTCGAGTCATACGCCTCCGCCCTGACATCCGCCGAATAGCATCATAAATCCCGGCGGGAAAATAGCGAGGCGAATTTCTTCGTACAGGCCCTGAGCCCCGTATCACGGCCATCACTCGGCCGTATTCCACGAGTCATCCCATCACGTCCAGGCCCTCTGGGTCCCCGCAGTGGGGTGTAAACGGGGATTCATGGGGCATGAGGCGAGACCCCACGCCCGAAAGCTATGGCACACCCATCAACTATCAGCTCACGAGCCCCTTTCAACCCACCAACCAATGACCACTGGCCCGCCCGCACACGCGACGGCAACCCCGTAGACAGCCCCGCTGCCTTCACCACGGCACTGCGACGACGGTGACGGGCTGATCAATGGTGCAGGCCAGGGCGAGCGACTCCCTCCACTCGCTGCGATCCAGCGTCTCGAAGCGGCGGAAGCACTGCAGCAGGCGCACGAGGGTGTACCCGGCCTCGGTGAGGGCTAGCTGCTGCCCAATGCAGATGCGGGGCCCGCCGTTGAAGGGTAGGTACTCCCACCCGCCGTGGCGGCGGTGTTCCCAGCGCTCGGGCCTGAACTCGTGCGCGTCGGCGCCCCAGAGGTCCTCGCGCCTGTGGAGGACGTAGGCCGAGTAGGCGACATTCTGGCCCTTCTTCACGTGGAGCGGCGACCGCCCGTCCGGCCCACCGCCGAGGGGGAGCGTTACGTCGCAGTTGGCCTGCCGCCCGTTGAGGGGAACGGGAGGCCAGAGGCGGAGGGCTGGAATAGGGCGGGTGTGTTGTCAGCTTTGGGGCGGGAACGCAGTTTCGATGTTGGGGGACGTCGCCAGCGAGGGGACTTACTCTCGTTCATGATCCACCTGAGATACTTCATGTTTTTGAGCGCTTCAAACGTCGGCCGGGCGCCGTCAAACTCGCGCACCTCGCCCTGGAGGCGCCGCAGGACGCGCTGGTCCTTGGCCATGGCAAAGAGGGCGGCGGCCAGCAGGGTCGAGGTCGAATCGCGGGCTGGGATGAGCACGTTGAGCAGGTGGTCGCGCAGGGCGACGGGATCGTCGACCAGCAGGGCCAGCTCCTCGAGAAAGACGTAGCGGCTGTGGGCTTTTTTTTCTTCTGCATTCTCCGTCTTTTGTTGTTGATGCCGGATGTGCTTCTCTCGCACCTGTATCGCCTTTTGCACGTAGCCGTCGACAAAGCGCTGCGTCGTCTCGCACGCCTCGAGGAACTCGCGGCTTATGTTCCAGTCGGCCAGACTTCCCAGTCGGCATCTCCTGGCCAGTTCCGTTTGCGCCCGACTGAAGGCGACGGCGAACTGAGCCGAAGCCACTTCGCTGTCCCTGTTAGTGAGGGTGTTGAGGGACTCGCCAAAGAGCATTTCGCTAGCCGAGTCAAGCGTCTGCCAGTTTTTTCATGTGTTAGCAACATGCAATCCAACTGCCACCCCTCCAAGTATTGTCTCCCTGGGGCGGAAGGCTGCTCACCATACGCTGGAAAAGCTCTTTCATATGAACAGGCGTTTTCCCGTCCTTCGGGATCAAGGCTAGCATGTTTTGAAAATGGACCTCGAGCGAATCGAGATCTGCCACTTGGTCACGGACGAAGTTGGGCCGGACTCTGGTGCTATCATATTAGACTTCTGGCGATATAAAAGCGTGCTGCTGCTCACATGGGCTATTAACTTACAAAGCGCGAGCCTGCTCCCATTTCTCACCATCGCTTGTGAAGATGCCGTGGCCAACCAGCGGTTTAAAGTTGTTGTATCCTGCGCGCCCAGTGTCTCGCCAATTAGTTGGGGGCTTCTCTCGTTATGTCTGCCAGAACAAAAAAAAAGAACTCACGATCAATGCCTACTCCAAAGCTCGAAAACTGCGTGGCCAGAATAGCCTGGATGTTGCGCGGCTCGGCAGTCCAGTAAAAGTCGTCGAGCAGTACACGGCTACGGAACGTGGTGGCCCCGTTGTCGCGGAACCGCTCGCGCATGTACTCGAGCAGCGTGTGTGCCGACAGGCGGCGCTCGAGCTCCAGCAGAAGACCGATGCCCAGGGGGTCGCGCCAGGTGATGAACCGGTCCATGGGGGCGGGCCGGCAGCCCCGTGCGCGCGCAAAGGACTGATCTCGCCGCCAGGCCGCAAGCACGCGGGCTAACAGCACCAGTGCAGAGAGTAACGCGGCAGTTAGGATGTAGGTATTGGCCATTTTCTATGATGGCTGCTTTACCACTCGGCTGGATAGCAACGGTGCTGTCGCTCCACCCCCTAACGTTGTTCGTTGGCCGTTTTGTTTCACCAAGGGCTTAACTTCAGTATAAAGAGGATCGGTTTGACGCATCTTAAGGCAATGGAAATTTCTGCTCAGGGCGGGACGATACCCGTTCGCGGGTGTTTTCTTTCCTACGATGCTGCTGGGCAACTTGTGCAGAGCCATCAGGCCTGCCCCGTCGCTCATGCCCAATGCCATCCATCTTACGCGAGTCGTGCCCGTAGGCATTACCCCCATCTTTTCGGGCATGGTTCATTGAGCCGCGCGCAGCTCCAGCTCATCTGCATCTTCAAAGACCCCTCCACCCCTATGCCGCCCATGCTCAGGTTGTAGTGGCGGCAGCTCAGGGCTGGCACTCAGTCCAAGCTTGGGGGGCAGTTCTTTCGGGATGGACGACTATATGCGCAGATACCAAATAACCACTAACTATTGCTGGTCAGTAAAGCACTACAGCAGTGCCCCTCAACCTAGAAGATACAGGAACGACTGCCTGGGAACCTAGGTAGGTAGTTACTATCCGGTAGCTCAGAAAGGTACTCCGAACCTCCCTGTTTCGGCAGCACGCCCGGTGGCGGGAGGTTATCACGGCTGTCATCGGAAAATTACCAATTACCACGAAGTAAAGGATTTGCGAATCGTTCGTTCCCGGAACCTAGCCGTCTCGGCCATGCGTGAGGCGTAGAACGTGATCTTAGACAGATCCTTCTCCCACCAGGGGTAGACCTTGGCGGCGTGTGGCCGTTGCCCCTTATACCCCTGGGACCGCAGTAGCGCCGACTTTGCCCATACACAGCCTCCCGTTGAAAGACTTCGTACACGTCAGCGCGTACCTTATCCAATTTCTCCTTAACGGCTCCTAGGTCTCGGTCGTGGTCCTCATCCGCCGATGACCCAGCAGTTTCGAAGCCCGACCCCTGCAACTCCTTTACCGGCCGTAGCTCCGGCACGTCGTACATCCCCGTAAGAACGACATTGCCGTCGTGTTGTTCCATGGCCTCTTCCCGGACCTCTCCCCGGGCCGCGGCCTCCCAGCAGTCCCTATCCGTCTTGTAACCATCGAATCGCGTCTCCATCGGCACGCGTCCAAACACGACGTCGACGCGTTGTAGGCTGCTAAAATGCCCAACACATCGGTATCTATACGTGTCCCAGCACGTGAAGTGTTCTTCCGGCCGGCGCGGTTGGAGAAGCGCTATTGACACGGCGAGATTCCGGATGGCGCGGGCCTGGCTGCCGATGGCGCCGCACGGGTGCCAGACGATGTGATTGCTCAGGGTCGCACCGTATTCGCCGTCATCGTCGAGCCAAAAGGTATCGATCTCGGGGATGAAAAGGCGCGTATCCTGCCCGATGCAGTAGAAGAACGAGTTCTCCCTCACCTCCTTATCCATAACGCTCACGGCGAAGAGACGCGACTCGCGGCACAAGTGCGCGATGGTGGGGTAGCGGCACTTCGGAACCAGCCACCGCGCGTCCTCGACCTCGACCTCGTGTGGCTGTCGGGAGCCCCTGCGGGTCCAGATAAACTTGGACGGGTCGCACCGACAAACGCCTGAGGAGGGGAGGAGTGTGAGGCTCCAGATCTCAGTGCGCAACTCGGCGGGGAGGGTGCTCAATTGAGTTTTAGCGGCCGTGAGTGTGAAGTGAGTTGAAGCGGTATGTTTTTAGAACGGGTCGCCTGAAGCACTGGCTACAGGTTTGATATCCAATGCAGTGGGTTGTGCTTTGAGCTACAGGCGGTCTGCTTTTACTGGGTTGGCCCAATTAGGCATGTCTAGCCAACCTTCCCCAGTTGACGTTAGCAGACCCTCTTACACGCTGCTTGCCACCAGCGCAAACTCGGCCACTGTGGCCCCGAGCCCGTCACCCGCCCAGCAACCCTCCACTACCAGGTGCGCATACGCCCCGCTCCAGATGTGATCCCCCAGCGCGATAATCGTCGTATTGCCCGCATAGGGCACGACTGGCGACGCCGGGTCCCAGGGCTGCGAGATAGTAACGACGGAATGCACGGCAGCTTCTGTCGCCGAGACGCTGCTACTGTTAGACAGCAGCAGCTTGACGCTCCTGGGCGGCCGCATGCCAAAGTCTAGGTGCACGGCCCCGAGCCGTGTCGGTGGCAGCGACGACGTGTTCACCGTCAGTGTCGCCGACGCATCGTCCGTCGTCGGCTGCCAGGCCGTGCCCGAGTATCCGTCCGTCGCCGCAAAGGGGTACTGCCCCGGCTGTGTGGGCTCTCGCGACGTGGCGTCGCGGCACTGCAGGACGTTGCCCGCCACGTCGAGGCTGTCGTCGTAGACCCGGTTCTTGACGACGACGGTCTGGTTGATGGCTAGACGGACGATCTGGCCGTCTGGATCCTGCACGCTGTGGCCGATGGTGATTGGCATATCGACGCCCACCTTGCCGTACTGGTCTGGGGCAAGGCCGTCAAACAGCGAGGCGTCAAGGCGCGTGATCAGGGTGTGCGTCCGGTTCATGCGGAACTCGACAACGGCGCCGTTATAAAACTGCACCGGTGGCCTGAAGTGCTCGAGCTGCGGCGGCAGGGACGGCATTACCACCAAGCTGGAATCAGTGACCTTGAGCCCCAAGAAGCCCGCCGCCAGGGTTTGCAGCAGCCCGCCGTGGCCCGTCAGGAAGGGAAAGGCCGGGTGCATGGGGTTGCCCGTGAGCGGGTCTACCGCTTTCGAATGGTCGTCCTGCTGCTCCGAGTACTGGTACCACGGCATGCGCAGGTAGGGATCGAAGGACTTGACTAGGAAGGTCCAGAAGGCACATCCCGACTGGGCAAGCGTGTTGGCCGCCACGGCGTACATGCCCCACGTCATGGCCGGGCCCGCGGCATCCTGGCGCACGGCGTAATAGTTCATGGCGGCCCGACGTTTGGCCTCATCAAATCCGCCCAGTCGGTAGTCGAAAGGGAAGTGCGCCAGGATCACGTCGGCCTGCTTGGACACGATGCTGTTGGGCATACCGCGGAACTCGAGCACGATGCTCCCGTCTGGAGAGGTCGGCATCGCCATGTTCCCCGTCTGCTCGACCCACAGATCCTCAAGCGCCTGGCCGCGCTGCCGCCGCAGGTTGGCCGCATTCTCAAGCACCACGCTCGTGGCCGCAGAGGTGAAGGAGCCGTCCGATACAAACATGTAGTACTCGTCGGCGTCGGTCATAACATCGATGCCCCAGGTCCGCGCCGCCGTGTCGTTGCGGGGACTCAGAACGCCGCTCAGCCCCATCGCTATGCCGTCCAGGATGTCGGCGGCGCCGCCCTTGTCGAACCACGCGGCGTCACCGCTCGTATTCCTCGCCGTGATCATGCTCAGCGCGATGTCGGCGTTGAGGTGGTACTGGTACATGACGCAAGGCGCCGATGTGTTGTAGCACTGTCCATAGCGCCCACTGGTCCAGGGGTACAGCGCGCTGCCCGGCTTGAGGCCGTGCCTGTCCGTGTTCTGGCGCGCCTGGGCGGCCCGATTGATGCGGTAGAGCTCAAACTGCCGGGCTAGGCGCGGGTGCGTCCCCTGCGCGGCCGGCGCCATGAACATGTCGGCGTCCCAGAACACCTTGCCTCCATAGGCCTGGGACGCGAGCCCGCCCACGCTAAGTGAGTTGCACGCCCTGCAACTGCCCGGGTCCGAGTCAACCTGCGGATCAAAGGGCAGCAGGTTGGTGTAAAGGTAGTAGGCCGACGAAATGGCCGTGATCTGGAGCGCCCGGACCATCCCGTCTCGTGGAAGAGCACCCGTCACTGGGTCTCGAAAGTCGGCAACCAAGGGGCTGGCCATGAGCTGTGACACAGCCTGGCTGTGCGCTTTGCGGGCGACCTCGTAGCCCTGGCTCTTGGCCTGCCTGGCCGCCGCCGATGCGATGCCGTCCGCGCCGTCTCCAAAGTGGTCAGTCGAGGCCACACCAACGTACTTGTAGACCGTGGCCGAGCGGGAGCTCGAGCGCAGCCGGTACTCTTTGCTGCTTGCCCCAGACCCCTGACCCTCGGTTATATTGCTGGCCATTAGTGTTGGCCGCTCACTACAGCTGCTGCCAAGGCAGCTTGCCGACGCATTGCGGCCCAGCACGTCACCACCCAAAACCGAGACGATGTACGCGGTAGTGGTCTCAACGCCAACAGGCGAAACGGCCCAAATGGTCTCCAGACCGTCGGCTGGAGCATCCCCCTTATTCTGCGGAACCGACGTCGTACGAAGCGCACTCTGCTGATCCAGCTTGTCAACAATAACCACCTGGTCAAACGCTGAACTGCTGGATATGGACAGCTTCACCGCCGCCATCTGTCGCTCAGCAAGTGATAAGAACGACTCGTACTTGACCGAGATGGCCATGCCCTCGCCGCTGCAGCTAGGGGGACGCCACGTATAAGACCATGTTGCTATGCCTTCCGAGCTACATCCCATTATGAAATCAGCCTGCGGACCACCAGCTTCTCGCCTGCCATGGGATATTTACTCACAACGAGAGCGAGGACGTAAAATCACTGATTTGCGCCACGTCAGTCGACCCGTCAAGCAGATCGCCACAGGCCTGGATGAGCAGGTCGGTGAAGTGGGGCAGTCCCGAGATGAAGCTCTCGCCCCTGGGCTCCAGCTCGTCTGTGCTGGGCTCGCTGCCCCAGAACCCCGTGACGGTAGCGAATGTCCTCCGCGGAGCACTGTAAGACGGCCAGCCCTCCGAATCGTTGAAGCGGCTCAGCTCGAAGAACGGCCCAAGGGAACCCTGCGCAAGTCCTATGTAGCTGAAATTCCGCAGGCCGCCGCGTACTAGTCAGTTGGGACGTATGCCGTCTGGGGGACGTGGACAGAAAGCACGAGAAGAACGCACCCATTTGTCTGTGCCTGCCAAGCTGTAAAGGTGCCCGGCAAGGGCTTTTTCGATGTCAGCGTCCATGTTTCATCGTCCCACGATACCCAGTCCGGAGCAGCGCCCGAGGTTGCTGGCGCGGCAAAGGTGGTGAGTGGCAGCACCAGATATGCCAGCCAGCGTCTCATCATAGATCAAGGTGTAGGAGCGGTGGGAAGATCAAAAACAACGTGAGAGGATACGGTCTGGGTTGTGGTGCAGCTTTAAATACCCATTTCCGTCCACTAAACTCCTCCTCCCTGCTGACTCGCTCGTTTTTATGCCCCGCCGTTCCAATCGCCTGGTACCCCGAGCCCCGGTTGCCTGCCTCTTTCGTCTCTGTCTCGTGCAGAGTCTTGAGAACAGAATACTTTACGTGCAGGACGTCAGCCCTGGACTCTGACCAGCAAATGGCGAGCTAGGGGAACGCGTGTGTTCTTTCGCCCATTTACATTATTGTCCCTTTGGCAGACCAGCCGTGACAAGCTGTACTTGAAGTGCGGGAGCAATGCTGGCTGAGGCCCTGTGAAAAGGAGCGCAGGCCGAGATGATGAGATACTTGGGGATTGGCCGCCTCGAGCCATCAGCCCAGCCGGGTCCGGATCATCGGGGCAGGACTGCCGTCTCGGCTAGCGGACACCACGGCACTCCAGCATCTCGACCATTCGCGCCAGTTCTGTTGTGCACCAGAATTTCCAGCCTTGTAGCCGGCTGTGGCCGGGCGTTGTCTTGCGCAGTGCGTGTGTTCCATGGAATGTGGCTTGTGACTGGCATCTTCGCCATGTTTGTAAATATGTTCCGAACCAACTGCTCGTTGGAATGCTACGTCGATCTTGACCCTTTATTATGGCTTGGCCTATTTACCCACCTTACTTTACATTCCGTGCACTTTCCATCCTACTCCCTTTCATTGTCTTAGGGACAGGACCCAGCAACTTTGACGGATGTGTTGGCTACCCTTCCCTTCCTCATATTTCCCCAGGCTTCCCTTTTGTCACTCTTCCACAGCAGACCCGCATGCGACGGCGAAAGCTATCCCCAGGCTTGCCCATAGAACCTTTAAAACTCCCGAGGGTTGAAGAAAACCATCAACGGAAACTCATTCCTACTCTCACTTCCCACCACGAGCCAATAAGATTGCCCACCTCCTTGCTGCTCAACTACACCTCTCACTGCCTAGCTCTCTCCCTGCGTATCATGCCTCCTAGAGCTCTTCCCGGCCGCCACTTGACCGAGCCACAAAACCTGCCTCGGCACAGACTTCCTCCACAGCCCGAATCTCCCCTCTTGAATGGTAAGCTACATCTGTCACTCCAGTTGCCAAAATTTGGCAACGATGCTAATAACAACCTGGAACCAGATGGCGCATACAAGAGTGAGTCGGAGTCTGGGGGCGAGTCTGCGTACGAGTTCGGGCACGAGTCCGAGGAAGAGAGCAAGGTGGCCAGCGATAATCCTCCGACCAACCCCCCCGCCTTCTCAGGGGCCCACTGGGACAGACCAGCGGGCCGGTTCCTGAAGGCGGTGGGGAGGGTATGCCTCGTCGTCATGGGCCTCTTCCAGACGCTCTTTTGGTGGTGCGCCGTCGGCTCCATGCTCCTATTCTGTTTCGCCGCCTGGATGACTTTTGTCGGCGGCGATTTGATGGGCCCGACCCCCCGCAACCGCCCTGCCTCCCTACCAGTGGGTGCGGAAGCATACTGCTCGTGTCCCCGCTTCCCACCTACTTATTTCCAACGCATTCGTTTCATGACCTACGAGGGTGACTACTACATGGGGCCCTGCAACTGCGACTTTGGGCGCCACAGGAGGTAGCCCGCGAAGCCAACATAGCTGCCACCACGTTTTCGACTCTGGTTTGGTTCTTTGAAGCCCCCTGGAAGACTCGACGCGAGGCATACCACCAGTCCGTCCTACCTGGCGATCAGAGGTGCGTGCCTTCTCCATAATATTCTCTTGTTGCGCTTGTTTCCCGTTGAACTTCCTGCGCTAATAGCTCACATACAGTATCGACACAGTCAGCATAGGCCCGGGGCATTGATGGACAAATGGAGCAAATTGTGAGCAAGAAAGGAGGGCGAAGGACATTGACAGAGGCTGAGCGTTAATCGAGGAGTCAGGAAGCAAGTATGGACAAGGTACCGATCGATAAACGTACTTTACACCTGGCCCCCTCTACACCCTATTTTCACCATCGCCCGCTGCCAGCTTCTTGTGGCTGCCCATAAAAGTATTCCCCATAGTCTTGTCCCCCATCTCGACATATGGCGGTCCGTCCTCTTAAATCCTGCGGTATGCTGTGTAGCGTATGGGCGCCTCGTGGTGTCTTGCCCTAGCTTCGCTGGCGTCAAGCAACGTCTCCTGTTCTCGAGATTAGCCTTCTTGCTTGGGTGTGTGATCGCATTGCCATGCCTTACCTTCCTCGGCGAGGAGGAGTATCAAGGCCAGTGTGATTGAGAGGAGTATTTTTGACAGTAAGGTAGTAAACAAAAGAGTGCTCTACTGAACGATAGCAGACGTGATGATACTGGAATGAACTGCCGTTGCAAAAGCGGTCGTTGATAGCACTGTGGGGAGGTGACTTTTATCGAGAGCGCAATGGTCAACAGAAGGGCGACTGACAACAAAGCTGTTAATCAGACGATGTTAGACAGGACGAGTATTGACATGAGTGTTGTTGGGAGGAGCATAGTGGATAGCAAGAACATCGGGGTGACAGCCGTCGACACGAATAGCGACAAGGTGTTGAATCAATCCATCATCGGGATGAAGAGCATCGTTAGATAGCAGAGAACATAGGGGCAGTATCGAATCAAGCGCGAAAAGCAACTCAGAAGCAAAAGACAAGAGGAAAGGTGAAATGAAGTCCCCGAGGATGGTTGACAGCAGAGGGACCAGTCGGAAAAGCACCCGAAGTAGAATCGTCGGCAGCAGCGTCAATGCAAAGAAGGTCGCCGAGGTGCTATACGGAAGGAGGGCCCAGACGACAACGGTTGGGAAGATGAACCAAGGGATGTGTGCTGGAAAACCGGATATGACGGCCGAGAGAAGGGCCGAACTTCCTACAGCGGCGAAGACGCATGCCCGACAGTGATGCAGGTAAAGTCGGTAGCCTGCAGAAACCCACACGGGCAGCTTCTAGCAACCACAACCCAACCATGCCAGGAGCTAATTTTCTGCTGCCCGTTAGCTGATAGCTCCACCGTAAACGTAATTGTATCTGCTTATAGCCGCATACCCAAAAAGGTTTTGGTGCAGAACCACATTGGGAACAGGCGGCTTTGCGAACAACTCGCGATGTTGAAAACACGTGTCCGAAAAATGATAAGCTGCGATCGCAAAAGAAAGGGCAAATAAAAAAGCAAAAAAGCTTACTGCCGCTTCGGGGCGACAGCTACGAAACATCCCACTTGGGAGGTTTGCTCGGCGACGGAAAACCGACGTTAACCCCTACCGGGGCTCGAACCCAAGACCCAAGCGGCTATTGCAGCAGAGTACAGGTAGGGTCCCGGTGTCGACTCGACCCATCCTCATAACCGCTACACCAACTTGGCGTCCGGGGTTCGATGTCTACAGTAAGCTGGGCGACAGGCTATAACACCTGCCAGGGCAAGGGAAAAATCACGTTGCGTAATATTCAATCTGCATTCGGGGGTCTGCACCCGGACCAGGGAGTTGACCATAACACGAGTGGAAAGTTGAGGCGTGCGTGCTTTTCCAAGCGACAAAAACAAGCGACCGGCCACGATGAGCCAAGCACCAAAGTAATGCGTAACATAATCAGGCCTTTTTCTGTTCAGAATCAACATCATTCCCAAAGAAAGGCCTGCGAGAGCCTTGGGGAGGATGCTGATGATGGTGCTTAAGTGAGGAACACAGCGGAGAAACGTCCAAATTGTAGCGGGCGAGGGCGAGCAGCGGTCAAAGAGGCACTTCGGGGTGAGATGCAGGTGGATTAGACTGACAGCTTGTCAAGTATGGGCATCGCTTTGCGTGGATCATCATCTCGTGTTCCGGTTGTTTTCGCCGTGGTTGGGATAATGTTGGGCACCTGGACAGCCTCGGCTGGTTACACCCTCCCAATTGCGGCTTGAGGAGTGAAAACAGGCAGTACCTACTCGTAGCCTTACGACGTATTGGTGCCGCACGAACACCATGGTGGGGAGTTGGTACATATTGAGGAGGTTGAATGGCTTCTGCACGCCGTAGAACGAGCACCAGATCACTGTTGTTGTTCGTAGCCTCTAATACAACTGTTGATTCTATCTTGTGACAAGTCTTCCCGCCCTTCCTTCCAAGTGCTTCAGATGGCGGAGGTGGGATTGGCTCTTCGATTTGTAGCAGGCACTCGGAGATAGTGGCACGCCTCCGGTCTGGCGATGGTGGGTTGGTGCATTGAGGAATAAGCAAAAACTGCGAGCTAACTACCGTCGGGAAGAATGTCGAGCGGCTCACTAGACATCAACCGGAAGGGGCCATCCCCGCACAAGTTTATCTCAAAACAGTCGAACTGGGTCAGACAAGCGGTAGGCTAATGACAGCTTCAGTATGCCTGTCACATTATAGGCTGATGACGGTACGCCGTAATCTGGGGGAAATGGTCTTTGTTCCAGCACGCATCGTTGGCGGCTCGCCTTCGTTCCCGGGAGCCATTTCGCTTTGATGAGCTTTAGCCCCTAACACTTCATCCGAGTGCAAGGTGGCCAGACTCGTCTGCCGAGAATACAACGCTTTATGAACAGCACGAGGGCAGCAGATAGGAAGGTACTTGACGAGTTCGTCTGTTGAATCAAGAAGTTCAGACCCATCAACTTGTTCAAGCCCGAAAGGTTCCGCTCCACCCGACAGCGGCTTTTAGCTAATATCCACGGTGTGCTTCTCCTGTCCATGCTCCAGCATTTTTTGCGACCTTTGGCTACCTTCTACCGAGATCCCTTCTTGGTGAGCCACCTACGCCCTCTCCTCCATACTATCTCGCCCACAAAGACATCCAGGAAGCTGTTAATTCCTTCTATTACCTACCAGAGTATATAGGCTGGCAGCGCTGTTTGTGATGGAGTCCTCGTTCTAGGCAAAGATAAGCTTCACCACACTGCTTTGCCATCTCCTCTTTATCCCTACCACCAAGTAAGACACTGGACCACCTTGCAGAGTAAAAATGTGTATTTCGTGCGCGCAGATCTAGTACAGAAAAGGAGGGACACGCATTGTTGGCTAGAATCGGAGCTGCCCTCTTCGGGAGGGAGGCTCGTCGTCATCAACTCCCTTGCCCGTAGTTTCTGTGATAGAATAGCCACTGCTCTTGCCGCTCGCTCGCGACCCATGGCACAATCGTGCTGCACGTCCTCCACGACGACACCCCAACCTCGGCCCGCCTGCTCGAGGTCTCTGTTGCCAATCATGGTGTACACTCGTCTGCACATTCAGGAAGCCTAAAAGCTTGTCCTTGGCTTCGGTCAAAACGACGCCAACCCCAAAAAAGGAGTCTGCTCTGCCGGCTATTACTGGGGAATCAATTGGGACACGGCCTGGCTAGATAGGTAGTTACGCAATGACGAAAGCCACCAGGCGGTTGAGCAAGTTACTCTGGCCAGGACGTCAAACATGAAGGACACAGGAGAAGACCCGACGCGATCCCGGATGGACTCAAGACCGTGAGAGCCGCACCCGATATGACCCTGCTCGTTATCTCGGGTATCACCAGGGGAAATGGGGTAGATAAAGTGTGTGATTGGAGCGGCGAGGTTATTAGCGAGGCCAGCCTGCCGTGGCTGTCCGGTGCGCATGTGTGCGTGCAACTCATCCCGGAGAACTCGACGCTTGGTGACTCCTGAATGCGGCTCGCACTTGTCTTCTTGGTTGGATTCCTGCCCCCGCAATTTCAAAGCTCAAGTGTAAACCCCATGTTTACTTTTCGCATGCAGGTTTGCTGTACTAGACAAGAGTAGCGGTGATTTGGTTTCATAAAACATCTTACAAAAGGATTTTCCTAAGAAAAGAAAACGGGGTTCCCAAGGGGCCGTCGGTACAGGATCCTCTATCATGGTGCGAGTGGCCCGTGGCCCGTGCACCAGGCCAGGGGGCGTCGCACCGAGGTGCGGTGCAGGTCTGGAACCTATCATCTTTTGTCTATGCCCCCTAGCCAACTTAAAGCTGCGCATCATCGTATCTTCCTAGGTAAAGGTACCTAGGTAGGCACCTGCCTTTAGTTTTCTGCATTATCGATTATTACCAATCAGATTCATGTGACTAAATTCCCGGCCTCTCAAGATTGCCAGTTGGCAAACCCCTCCTCATCTCAAATCCACTTGAACGTCACAAACGTCGACCGTGAAGCTAGTCGTCCAGCTTGTTGAGAGACATGGATCCACAACCACCTCCAGTCAGCGAGCGGGCGCAATCAGCTGATGCCCAGCATGCCATTATCAAGCCCTTCCTGCCCAAGTTCACCCACATAGACCCCGTCATCTTCGTGCTAGCGCAGGACGACTTCACACAACCGACGAGGCAACCGGCTCAGGACAGGGTGGAGAGAGTCAAGCGCATGCTGGGGACCATTGATGCATACAAATACGAGGTCCGGGTGAACTTTCATCATCTCGTCCGCCAAGAGAAGCGCCGCATCGAGCAAAGTAATCTCCAGTACGAGCAGGCACACAAGGCTGTGGGAGAAACGGAGTCTGACGTCTCGATCGATGACATGCGAGGTATTATGGCTGCCATGGATGCCCAGGCCGACTCGAAAACAATCTACCACATGGAGGAGACTGCTCAGCAGCTGGGAGTGCGGGAGCGATTCTATGGCGAAGAAGAGCCTTTCGACCGAGAGAACAGCCTTCGGCAACTGGGCCTGGTGGCTGAGGAAGGCATCCATCACATCGACGGATTCCTGACGCATATGGAAAGCCTACGAGCAAAATGGGAGGCAATCCTTGAGAGAGAACAGGTCGCGCTAGAGGGGTTTGTGGCAGCCGCAAGGCCGACGCCAGACGAGCATCGGCAGTGACGCCATGACCTGCGCTGACGCCGTTGATTGCGCATCGCGGACACAAGTTTGCGCAAACCAATCGAGTACGAGGGAAGACAAGGCTGAAGCCCCTCAAGAGTGCCGGATAGGCGGATGTATGTAGCTGCCGGCGGTAAGAGGCCCTGGCCATTGAGAGCCGGACCAGGAGTCCGAGTCTCTCACGCGCTTCCATAAACGGAGCCGAGGAATTAATCTAGAGCACAAAATAGAGGAAGACTCGACTAAGGCCAAGGCGCCGAACGAGTCGGAACACCTACGGCGCAAGTTTACCTACGAGAAATTATGCCCATGATACAATTTGTTGTGGAAGAAAAAACGAGGGAAAAAAACCAAGTGGGATCTGACCATTTGAACGTTTTCCAGGTGGGGCAAAGAGTTCAAGTAGGGCCCACTCGAAGCTGCCGAGCCAGCGACGGTTTGGCCCCGCCTTCAGTCGTTGAGCTAGCCAATTGCGCGGCACGAGATAATAATGCCGGAATAACGGCAGTCGACTGGCGATCCAAAGATTGACTGCGGCACAGGAAGCACCCTCGCCGTCGACGCGATTGATCTGGATCAAACCTCACGCCCACACCCACCGCACCCTCTCTCCCCTCCTCGAACGCGCCGCCGGTTTCGATCCGCCGGGACGATACGATGCTTCGACAGACTCTGGCTCGTTCGGCTTGGCGGACTGGCAGACACGCCCTCAATGCCCCGAGGGCTTTTTCCGCCACTGCCCAGCGTCCAGCCGAGGTAGAGCTCACAATTGGTCAGTGAGCAGCTTCTCAGGCAGTTAAGTGGCATTGCTGTCTTGCTAACCGCCTCCCAGACGGAAAGAAGGTGTCAATAGAAGGTATGGACGGGCCTCCGCGATGTTGCTATATGCTGTGATCTCTTGCCGCATCTCTCGGGACACTGGGCCCTGACGTGTCGCAGCTGGCTCTGCTCTTATTCAGGCATGCGAGAAAGCGGGAGCTACCGTTCCAAGGTCTGTTACTGCCGCCCCTCATGCGACTCTGTCCGATCTCCTGTTCCTAATGCTGACCTTGGGGGCGCTGCTCCGTCTAGATACTGCTACCATGAGTATGGATCCCCCTCCGCCCGCGTGTGCGACGACCTCGACGACTCGTTCGAATAGCTGCAGCTGATGACTGACCGACGGCCTGTCGCCAACAGGAAGCTCATGATCGCCGGTAACTGCCGCATGTGCCTGGTGGAAGTCGAGAAGGCGCCGAAGCCGGTAGCGTCGTGTGCATGGCCCGTTCAGCCAGGCATGGTGGTCAAAACCAACTCGCCGCTCACCCACAAGGCGCGAGAGGGCGTCATGGAGTTCCTTCTGGCCAATCACCCTCTTGACTGTCCCATCTGTGATCAGGGCGGAGAGTGCGACCTGCAAGACCAGTCGATGAGGTATGGGGCTGACAGAGGGCGCTTCCACGAGATCGGAGGCAAGCGCGCTGTCGAGGACAAGAACATTGGACCTCTGATCAAGACCTCGATGAACCGCTGTATCCACTGCACCCGGTGTGTCCGATTTGCGAACGACATCGCCGGCGCCAACGAGATGGGCTCATCCGGCCGTGGCAACGATCTCCAAATTGGAACCTACTTGGAGAAGAACCTGGACTCGGAACTTTCGGGCAATGTTATTGATCTGTGCCCCGTCGGCGCTCTGACTTCGAAGCCATATGCGTTCAAGGCCCGCCCATGGGAGCTGAAGAAGACCGAGTCTATCGATGTCCTCGACGCACTCGGTTCCAGCATCCGAGTCGACTCGCGCGGCCTCGAGGTCATGCGCATTCTCCCGAGACTCAATGATGACGTCAACGAGGAGTGGATCAACGACAAGACTCGATTTGCCTGTGACGGCCTTCGCACCCAGCGACTGACCATCCCGTTGGTCCGGCGCGAGGGCAAATTTGAGCCCGCCTCGTGGGAGCAGGCTCTTACCGAGGTGGCCGAGGGTTACGCCAAGGCTGCGCCCAAGGGCAACGAGTTCAAGGTCATAGCCGGTCAGCTGACAGAAGTCGAATCGCTTGTTGCTATGAAGGATCTCGCCAACAAGCTGGGCTCCGAGAACCTGGCTCTCGACATGCCATCGGGAGGGCAGCCCCTTGCGCACGGCGTCGACGTCCGCTCCAACTACCTGTTCAACTCCAGGATAGCCGGCATTGAGGAGGCCGACGCTATCCTGATCGTTGGCAGCAACCCTAGGCATGAGGCCGCGGTTCTGAACGCTCGCATCAGGAAACAATGGCTCCGCTCCGACCTCGAGATTGGTGTTGTGGGCGAGTCATGGGACTCGACGTTTGAGTTTGAGCACCTCGGCGTCGATGCCGACGCCCTGAGGAAGACTCTGGCTGGGCCATTTGGCAAGAAACTGCAGATCGCCAAGAGGCCAATGATCATCATGGGGTCTGGAGTTACGGATCATCCTGACGCCAAAGCCATGTATGAGCTTGTGGGCGCCTTCGTCGACAAGAACGCATCCAGCTTCCTGACCAACGAGTGGAACGGTTATAACGTTCTGCAGCGGGCGGCCTCAAGAGTCGGCGCTTTTGAGGTTGGCTTCGTGACCCCCTCGGCCGCGGTTGCCGAGACCAAGCCCAAGTTTGTGTGGTTGCTCGGTGCCGACGAGTTCTCCGTGGCAGACATCCCCAGGGACGCATTCGTTGTCTACCAGGGCCATCACGGAGACAAGGGTGCCGAGATTGCGGACGTGGTGCTCCCCGGCGCGGCTTATACAGAGAAGACTGGCACATATATCAACACCGAGGGCCGTGTGCAGATGACGAGGGCCGCCACGTCGCTCCCCGGAGCTGCCCGGGCCGACTGGAAGATCATTCGTGCGGCTAGCGAATTCCTCGGCGCCCCCCTGCCGTTTGATGACGTGACAGCTGTGCGCGAGCGCATGGTTGAGATCAGCCCGGCCCTTGCCGCATACGACGTCGTCGAGCCCGTGGCCCTCCAGCAATTGAGCAAGGTGCAGCTCGTCGACCAGAACAAGGGCACCAAGGTGACTGGCAAGCCGCTCAAGAAGGTCATCGATAACTTCTACTTCACCGATGTGATCTCAAGGAGGTATGTATCCAAGTCGTCATTTTTTTTTTGCGTTGTGTCCGGCCCGCCACCTACCCCTCTTTCGGCATATAGCTCGTGTGTGCAAAGTTCTGACCAATATGAATAGCTCGCCCACCATGGCCCGGTGCTCAGCAGCCAAGGCAACTGGCAACCCCAAGACCGATTTCATGGCCCCCGGAATGACCGAGGAGAAGCCGTTTGGCCAGGTGGCGTATGGGTCATAGAAAAAGAAGAGCACATGGCGAGGGGATATGAGCCAAAAGCAAAAGGTTCGGGTGGGAGCGACCATGGTTACCAGGATGTATCACGCTTAGAAGCATGCGATACGGCTGGGGCCCCCTCTTTCTTATACGCTTGCACATAGCTGTCAACGGTGAGCATGTTTCGTGTTGTGAACAGAATACATTTTTTTGTTATTAGTACATTTCTTGTGTTCGGATTATTCATCTTGGGATAATCCTGCAGGTGGCACTCCAGAGTCACCACAACGATGCATGAATAGGGCTCACATAGGGGACGGCGTTTGTGCGCCGACTGGGCTTGGCTAGCGTACAGCCGCGTGGCTATCGGAGCAGATTCGAGATCAGCAGGCTTCATGAGCGCCGCATGGCCTGTTCACTGACCCAAGGCACTGCTCTCCGGTTCTTCGCCTTGTTTAAGTGGAGGGAATTCCTGCTGAACCTCGGAATCCTTCAAAATAGCCTGCCCTAGCTGACTAGAGTCGACGATATTAACCTCCCATGGCTTCTTTGGGGCGGTCATCTTGCCCACCGGCTTAACCCCCTGGTTCCCAGGGCGCGCGATGCGATAGTTAGTCACGACGAGACAACACTGCACTCAATTTGAGGCCAGCACAACTCAGGCAAATACGATGGATTTCAGGGGCTCACTTACAGCATCTCGCACGACGGTATCCGGTATCTCCCGCACGCCCGGCACAGGCTTGTTGGCCCGGACGGCTGCGATCAGCTCTGCGAAGTGGTTCGGGTAAGGCGCGGCGTCGCCCGAGTCGCCCCCACCGGCGGCATTCCGGTCAACACGCAGATCCAGCTTGGGCGCAGACTGCTGCCAGGCGGGGCCGGGCTGGGGATCCTGGGATGCGACGCCGGCCTCGGGCGGACGCGAGGCGTATTTCTGTGCGAATGTGGCTACGGCGTGAACTGGGTTCGGTGGCGGCGGGCCCTGGACGGCAGCGACCCGGCCGTGGGCCCAGTACAGCGCCGTGAGCAGGTCCTGGTCCGGCATCTGCGCGGAGTTGCCGCCGGCCCCATCAACCCACAGCTTGTAGGCAGAAAAGTCGACCTGGACCTGCCGCACCTTGCGGTAGTAGAAGATGCGGGCGTGAAGGGCAAGGTCGCCGTGGGTAGGGTCCGGGTGGAGCTTCTCGACGCCTCCAAGGAGAGCGATCAGACCCTTCTGTAGACCATCGACTTTCTGTTTAGTCCTAGATCTCTGCCCGGCGCCATGCCCTACTATTCCTTCACCAGCACCAAGCAGGGGGACAGTAGCTCGCCCCAACGGTTACCTTGACATACAAGGAAGGCCAGGTCGGTCCGCCACGGATACGTGTGGAATTGAGAGAAGACCTCTTGGTCCTGCTGTGCGGCGGATTGCGGTTCCATGATGGGCAACCGCAAAAGAAACTTGTCCGACTTTGGCAAGTGGATCAAGTAGGAGAGCGGTGATATTACTTTCTTATCTGCAGTACGCGTGCAGCATAGGTATATGCGCTTCTTGGATGGTTGGCGGCCAGACTTGTATGTGGTCTGGGGACCAAACAAGGGATGACGCCTGGTGGGTTTGAGAGCCCATCTGCCCACCCCTCGTCGCACCTGCCTTACCTGCATGTAGCACGTATGTCAGCACCCCAGCTGCCCTATCAGTAGGCTCCTTCAGCGCCTCAATTACTCGCGTGCACCTGAGCACAGAAACATGACGACTTAACGCGTCAGGCTTCATCTATAAAAGCAGGCGAGTAAAGCTATTGACGCAAGTAATACATCAGAAAACCGTGACTAGAGGTACATATACCCAGGTAAGCCCAATATTCTGCTATTGCCAATATGAGCGTTATCTTTCCTACCTTGCGTCATGTTTGATATATAACGCAGATGCACCTTTCCAGAGGCAGTTATGTATCCATCGCTTCACTCCGTCGGTGGCAGGTGGTGCGCATTGTTTCGAAAACGACAGAATTGGTCTAGGTAACTGCTTTGAGAGTGGCTGAGCGCTTCACCATTTGCTCGTCGACAAAAGCAGGTGGGTCCGCGGGCACTCCCCAACTCATTTGCTCAGAGTGTGGATATCCAGCCGCTCCCAAAGCAGCTAGACCAGTTCTGTCGCCGTCGAGATATTACGGAATCTTGGCTCTGTGCTTCTGCTCTCTGGTGAGAAGGATCCATATCTCCTGTGTGCCAGTGCTCCCAGGCGGGGCCTACCCCCAGCACACCCACATCCAACACAACGCACATGTCAGCGAAATCTAGGTAACATTGGCCTAGCAGCAGTCGCATCGAGGCGACCGAGGCGGCATCTGGTCTTCCGCCGCCCATCGCGCCAACCCAATTAATCTCGTGTCGGTCTCGGAGTGCTGCTCCAGACCAAGACTGCAACAGCCCCCATGCGTCGACCGACCGTGAGCGCGCTTCGAACGACCTGTCATTTAACTGTTCGGAGCCTCGCGCGCGGCGCTAGGTGCCGGACTTTGATTCAGCCTCGAAACGCCGGCCCCGGAAGCCTCAGCGGCGTTCGTATTTACTCGTCGCGCCCCAGCGCTCGGCCTCCTCCCAAGCATGCGCCCACGGAGCCCCTGCAGTCCTCCATGTTCTCCCGCCGCCTCGCCGTTCTCCTGACGTCCACGCTTGTCGGATACGGCGCGTGGTACTCATACCAGGGCAACAATATGACTGATCCGGCCCGCTCCTACACCCCGGGCCCTGCCAAGCCTATCGACGGTGCCGCCCCGACTCGGAATGTCCTCGTCATAGGCGCCGACGAGCTCTACACAGGCACGTTTGTCGGCGAGGGTCCCATCTCCAAGACTACCGAGGACGAGCGGCGCATGGTCGTCGAGATGCTCAACCCCGACCAGTCTACCCACAAGCTTCGCAAGAACGAACAATCGTATCTTGTCAACAGAGGCCAGGGTGTTGTGCGCTACGATCTGGTTCAACTACCCAGCAATGACCCCATCGAGGATGACCATGCCGAGAAAATTGTCGAGGTGCCTGGAAAGTCGGAGGCTGGCCAGTCTGTTGCCCAGAACGACTGGATGTTCTGGGGAGTCTTTGACGGTCATTCGTGAGTGCAAACACCCGACTTTTGATTCGAAGGCGCTTGCGGGGGAATGGAGCCAGCATGGCACCTTTGGAGAAGTTATGGAAAGCGCTGACCCAAACATCCATCTCGTTTGAAACTACCGCCGCAGTGGATGGACGACCTCTGCCAAGCTGCGACAGGCCTTGATCGGGTCCGTCGCGAGGGAGCTCAACGACACCTATCGCGCCGCGCCCGGCATGAAGCCACCCGCGGACGCAATCGATGCAGCCATGAAGGCGGGTTTTACGCGCCTCGACGACGAGATTGTCAACCAGAGCGTCGAGAAAGTGCTTAAGCAAAACAACAAGACGGCAGCGGCGGAACTTCTGGCGCCCGCGCTGTCGGGGTCGTGCGCGCTCTTGTCTTTCTATGACAGCCAGTCCAAGCTGCTACGCGTTGCTTGCACGGGTGACTCGCGAGCCGTTCTCGGCCGTCGCTCGGCGTCGGGCAAGTGGTCCGCTACGCCCTTGTCGATCGATCAGACAGGCGGCAACCCCGACGAGGCCGCCCGCATGCGCAAGCTGCACCCAGGCGAAGAGCATGTGGTACGGAACGGCCGAGTTCTCGGCGGCCTTGAGCCCACACGAGCGTTTGGCGACGCCAGCTACAAATGGACTCGCGAGGTGTCGGAGCGACTGCGGCGGTCCTTTTTCGGGAGGACGCCTTCGGCTCTTCTCAAGACGCCCCCATACGTCACAGCAGAGCCAGTGGTCACCACGACCAAGATTGAGCCCGAAAAGGGCGACTTCCTCGTCCTGGCTACTGACGGCCTCTGGGAGATGCTTACGAACGAGGAAGTCGTGGGCCTCGTCGGTAAGTGGCTAGAGAGCCAGACCGCGACCGGGACCCAGTCGCAGCTCGGCGCGGTGTGGTCCAACATTTTCGGCTCGCAACAGAGCGGGCTCCCGGTTGAGGGCTCACAAGCCGCTTCTGATTCGGGTGGCCAGAAGACGCCCATCCGCATACTGCAGTGGGGCCTATCGCCCGACGGCAAGGACCGCTTTGTTGTCAAAGACAAGAACGCGGCAACCCACCTCATCCGCAACGCTCTCGGCGGGAGGAACGAGGAGCAGGTCTCAGCACTCCTGACCCTCCCGTCCCCATTTTCTAGGAGGTACCGGTAAGTTCGGACGATTGTGTTCCCTCAATTTTGCAATCCCATGTCTCAATATAGTGAATACACGCCACGGGCGTTGACGTGAAGGTGGGCGCCTGCTAACACCGTCAACAGGGATGATCTCACCGTCCAGGTAATATTCTTTGGCAGCGGGGAGAGGACAACAGGCGAGGTCGTTGTCAATGAGGAGGCCACGGCGCCGGCTACAAATTCAGCACGGGCAGCCGTGAAGCCTAAACTTTAAGGCCGTAGCCATTGATCAGATCGATATCAAACACCTGCAACTAAGGCTTTGATTTCTATGCGAGCTAGGATGCGGTGCCTTTCTTAGTATTCATCCGTGCCCAACAATCACATTAGGCCACGTCTCCCTTCTGTTCTGCATCGCGGTATGGTCTGCATACTGTTCACAGCCGTCTATCGTGAGACGCCACATGTAGACGCACATGCCATTACGAGAAGGGTTGCGATCCTGCGGTAGTGCCGCACCTGTCCACGACTAGTTTCCCCCTCCCTTGATCGCCCTTGGCCGAATTGTCTGTTCTGGTGATATTCCTATTCGCCATAGTAGGTGGGCATTGAATCTGCCCGACTATGCTAGTAAAGCACACACGCCCGACGCAGTGACCCCTATTGTGGCTGATCGCTGAGCGGTTATTTGGCGCCGTGGAACAGTCAATGGGACCGACCCCGGCAGCAGGCTTCAGCCTCAACCTCGATCGGGCTGGACTGCCCGCCAAGGAGCCAAGCCATTGGTGGTACCTGCGTACCTAACATGGGAGGGATTTAGATTGAGGAGCAGCCTCCCACACGCCTGCCATCTGTAGTTCACGAATGTCAACGAGCATGTTGGGTCTAGCAGATTCGGTGGTTACTACCGACGTACCGAGGCTTTAGGGGTCAAGAAGCGCATACTGGTTGATTGCCACGCTGCCCAGAGCACTGGTTTTTTTCTTCAGCGCATGACGTCATCGCAATCCTCAACAACACAACCCCGCCGATGCGGGCAGCACCTCAAAAGCATCTAGTCGATCAAGTCAAAGCTTGCGCCAGAGGTGGCCGTAGTCTACCGTGTAGGTCGAGTGGCCCATTATGTCTACGCCCCCGTATTCTCTACACCTCTGTATCTCTGCACCTCTTGCATTAGGCGGATGCCCAGTTCCTCCAGCAGACGTCTAAAGGGGGAGGGGCACGTTCTAGGAGGCCCATGGGCAGGGGGCGTTCCTCCTCGCCCCGCGTCTCGGGGGTTCTACGGCCATTCTTGATCCACCTCCATTGGGGCAGGGACTTTGCCTCCACGTCCAAGATAGCGTGTTGAGCGACTTCCCAGACTTCCATCTCAGCCCAACTCGCGGTTGGAGCCAGTCGAAGTTGCCGTGCGGCTGTCGATGTGGTGTGGGGAGCTCAAGGGCCCAGTCAACCTCAACAGGAGCAGCGGGCACCAGCTGCCCGGCCAGGCAGGAATGCTTCTCCTTATCTGGCCATGCTGCACCACTCAAGAAAGAAGGCCCAGGGCATGGACTCCGCGGTCGGGTTGCGAGGCGCGGAGGCACGGATGCAAGCAAATCTGCCTACCACCTGCCTGCATGCCGTGTCCGACGCGACGTAGTTGGCCGTGGTTGGTCGGGCCGGTATCGCTTCTGACAGTCGTAGTTGCTGCGTCTGCAGTGGCGTGGACCAAGGACGGGGCGAGGGAGGAGCTTTGTGCTCCCACGGAGCTGGAAAAGCAAGCTCCCAACTTTTCATCGGGTAGAAAGTGGAAAGCTCCTGCTGGTCCAGGCTGTCCCTTGTTGTTGGGAAGGGCCGACAAGGTGCCTTTGGCGCAGCGGGAGACAAGAGCAAGCCTGTGGTTCCAATGCAAGAGCTCCCGCTGTCTCGCACCGCAGCAGGCTCCGCCTGGGTTCCAATTCCGTGCCCATCCATCTCACATAATGATCCTCGCTCTCCCCGCCATCAACACCGTAACCTGAGCCCAGCTTAGCCGACACCGCATTGGCCTTACTGACGTGAATCATCTTTGCTACACAAATACGCCTCGACGGTCCTCACCAACTCTCCTCAAAAACAATCCGTATCATTCAACACAGCTACAGCATTACCCATCTCTCTCGTCTTCGCTTGCCCTCGTGTCCCGCTCGTTGGACTTTCAGCCCACAAAACGCCCCTGGCGCTAGTGCGCAGTTTCTTCTGCCAATCCCTGCTGGCCACCATCCGCGCAGCCCAAGATGGTCGTGTTCGAGGGCCACGAATTCCTCACGGAGGAGGAGAGGCGCCTGAAGGAGGACCGCAGCCGGACAAAGTACTGGAAGAAATGGGGCTCATACGTCGCTGAGCGACAATGGGCTACAGGTGAGCTTGCAAACCCCCTCCGCCCGTCTCTCACATGCTTCCGCCACTCCCCACCCACCGACACCGACACCGACACCGACACCGACATCGACATCGATACCGATTCTATCGTCCAGATCGACCTACTGACGCTCGACGGAACCGCAGTGAGAGAGGATTACAGCCCGGATGGCGATGCCTGGAGTCGTAAGTAGGACGCAGAAGCACAGTGACCCCTGTTCCTCACCACCGAGTCGCCACAGATCACACGTGCTGACCCAAGTGGCGCTGCGGCTCGACAGATTTCACCCACGACGATGCCCGGGCGCGGGCTTACCGATGGGGCGAAGACGGCATTGCTGGAGTATGCGACACTCATGGTATGCAGAACATCGCCTTCGCCTTCTGGAACGAAAAAGAGTGAGTTTGTATCCCCCACGAGCCTGGTCACGAGCCTGGCCATGGTCCCCCCATCCCGGCCGCAACATTGAACCCACCTCTTCTGTGTGATCCGCCTGGCTGACTGTGGTATCATGATGTTGTTAGTCCGTTCCTCAAGGAGAGACTCTTTGGTCTCTCCAACCCGCAAGGAAACCATGGCGAAAGCATCAAGGAGGCACATTTCCATCTAGACAATCTCCCCGTGTGTATTCTTCCTGATCCGTCACAATGCGTGTTTTATGAAGCTGACCGGCGTCACCCGCTTGACTTTACCCCGCGGCACGACCCAACCTTAGACAGTAAGTACCTCCTCCTGGAGTTGCAGGCCCGGCCCGTCTTCACCGACCTCCTTCGCTCACACTCTTGCCCCTATAGCACTCTTTCATGAAGTATTTGTACAAGTACCCGCAGAGGGCGTTCCCGTACGAAGACCTTCGCAAGGAAAATGCTCGCCGGACCAAGGAGGACAAGGAGTATCAGATCGTTGACACAGGCATCTTCGACGACAACCGCTACTGGGACATCATCATCGAGGTGGCAAAGGAAGATGATGACCCAGATGAGCTCCTGTTCCGTGTCACCGCCTGGAACCGTGGACCTGATCCAGCCCCGCTCCACATCGCGCCTCACGTCTGGTTCCGCAACACTTGGGCCTGGGGTCGTGAGCCTGCCGATCACAAGCCCGCTGTCTGGGCACATGAAGATTATCCAGGTGTGATCAAGTCCAAGCACCACTCACTTGGCGAGAGATACACTGTGTTCTCGCCTTCTCCTGGCGTCGGACCTAGCGGCTACGACGTCATGCCTGAGACCATCTTCACAGAGAACGACACCAACTTCGAGACTCTCTATGATGGCAAGAACCCCCAGCCATATGTCAAGGATGCTTTCCATCGCTACGTCGTGGATGGAGAGAAGGCGGCTGTCAATCCAGCTCAAAAGGGCACCAAATCTGCTGCTGTGTACAGTTTCAACGAGGCTGGCGGCGTTGGCCCGGGTGAATGCGCGGGTAAGCTTCTGGTCCATACTCCCATATGCCCTGAACACACCGTCTGACATGTCCAAACTGTCTACTTCAGTTGTTCGCTTCCGGTTTTCCAAGCATGACGAGGCCTACTTTGACGAAGAGGAGTTCGACAATCTGCTGGACAGGAAAAAGGAAGAGGCGGACGACTTCTACTACAGAATCAGTCCGCTGCCCATCTCGGACGACCTCCGCAACATCCAGAGGCAGGCTTTTGCCGGCATGATGTGGTGCAAGCAGCATTATTACTTTATTTGGGACCAGTGGGCTAATGGCGACCCGACCCAGCCGCCCCCTCCTGCCTCGAGGAAGGCGGTGCGGAACAGCCAATGGAAGCACCTCCATTGCGATGACATCTTGTCCATGCCCGACTCGTGGGAGTACCCCTTCTTCGCCGCCTGGGACACGAGCTTCCACTGCCTCACCCTCGCTATGATTGATCCAGACTTCGCCAAGAAGCAGCTCGATCTCTTCACGCGGGAGTGGTACTGTCACCCGAATGGGCAGCTCCCTGCTTACGAATGGAACTTTGGCGATGTGAACCCGCCTGTACACGCATGGGCAACGTTCCGGACCTTCAAGATCGAGCGCAAGATGTACGGAAGACAGGACCTGGACTTCCTTGAGCGCGTGTTCCAGAAGTTGCTGCTCAACTTCACCTGGTGGGTGAACCGCAAGGATGTTGACGGGAAGAACGTCTTTGAGGGTGGCTTCCTCGGTCTCGACAACATTGGCCTCTTCAACCGATCGGAGCCGCTGCCGACAGGCGGCACCCTGGACCAAGCAGACAGCACAGGCTGGATGGCCTTCTACTGCCTTTGCATGCTGAGCATCTGCCTGGAGCTGGCCAAGCACCGCCGCATATACGAGGACATGGCGTCCAAGTTCTTCGAGCACTTCATCCTCATCAGCGACGCCATGACGTTCAGGACCGGCCAGAAGGACGAGAAGTCGCTGTGGAACGACGAGGACGGCTTCTACTATGATGCCATTTCCTGGGGAGGCCCCTGGATCCAGCAGTTGCCCGTTCGGTCGCTTGTCGGGCTCATCCCACTCTACGCCACCTTGACCATTGAACCCGAGCTGCTTAACAAGCTGCCCGACTTCAAGAAGAGGGTCGAGTGGTTCATGAAGAACCGGTGCGATGTGGCCGAACGGAACATGGCCAGCATTACCAAGCGCGGCAAGGGCGATCGCATCTTGCTATCGATTGTCAGCAAGGACAGGCTGGTCAAAATTCTGAAGCGCATGCTGGACGAGGATGAATTCCTCAGCCCCCACGGCATCCGCTCGCTGTCCAAGTATCACAAGGAGCACCCCTTTTCCATGGAAGTCAACGGACAGAAATTCACGGTTGGCTACGTTCCTGGTGACTCGGACAGCGGCCTCTTCGGGGGCAACAGCAACTGGCGAGGCCCCATCTGGCTCTGCGTGAATCACCTCCTCATCGAGTCTCTCCAGCGATACTACATGTTCTTCGGGCCTTCTCTCATGGTCGAGTGCCCCACTGGATCTGGCGATATGATGCACCTTGGTCATGTCGCCGAGGAACTGCAGCACCGCCTGACGCATCTCTTTGCGCGCAGGGACGACGGCCGCCGGAGCATCAATGGCGGCAGCGACCTCCACGACTTCGACGAGCACTGGACGGACAACATTTGGTTCTACGAATTCTTCGATGGCGACACTGGTCGCGGCCTGGGTGCTACACACCAGTGTGGCTGGACGGGCCTGATTGCCCGCATGATCCACGAGACTGGGTAAGTTAAATCCCCGCTCCCCGGACTGGTCCAGATCGAGTGCTAACGATGAATGTTTCGCGACTTATCGCAGACTGAAGTGCCGTCTGCCTCAAACCCCCCGCACACCTTCTGTGGGTATGGCGCACTACTTTGACGACATCATGGACCGTGGCCATCAGCGACCGCGGACGCCGTCTACACCCAAGATGCGCCGCTACTCTACTGCACGCTCAATTGGCAGCCGGTCCGACTTTGATACCAATGGGATGACATCGGAAGCCTCGACACGCCGCCCTTCGATGAGCGGACTGGGCGTCCAGATGGCTGCCGACCCGGCCCTGCTCCGAGAGAGGGCAGAGGCTGACGAGGCAATGCATCAATACATCAACCATAAGCTCAACAAAGTCAAGCAAGATCGCGATCTTGAGGAGCCAGGGGACGAGCTCGAGACCCACGCCTCCGACTAAATACTGTTTCCTGCCCCTTATCTCCTATGGCCATCACGACAACCAGGCTTCCCTAAATGACACCTAGAATAACCTACATGACCCCTTCACCTTCATCAGATATCAGACCACGGGTGCGGTAACAGTTGGGGGGTTGGCTGGGACAAGGCGACTGTTTGTGGACCTGGGAATGGGTCCAGTATCGTCTAGAATAGTATCGTTGATAGATCAGAGGTAGAGCTGGGATGGCTGCCGCCACACGGCCTCAATACATTGCCACCCTGGGGCGTTTTTTGTTGCTGTTCGCATTTGGATCCACTTGGGGATTCGCATCCTCCTCTTGTCAAATCCCACCTGTCATACGAGGCTGAAGCTGTGGCCATGTGAAAACACATGAGGCCCGCAAACTGTGCAGCTGTTAGGGGCAATGGTGTTTCCTCTCATCCATGCCCCTTGGATTCGAGCGTTTTGAGGAGTGCGCCGTTATCGGAACTGACGACCCGGAGTCTGGAGTAGGAGTGACACAGCTGCATCAATACCAAACTGCACTGTTGTTACCCACCATGATGGGTAAACATTTGACTCGGCTTCCGGCAAGCGAGCTCAGGTTTATGGACACATGAAATCCTCGAGCATGTGAAGGATGGAAACATGAGTCTATACATGGAAGAGAAAGTCTCTGCCAAACGTGGATGATGGACAGGACAAGGTCTGCCTCCTACTCTCCATTAACGTGACAAAAGGGCAAAACCGGCCCTGGCAGGTTAGAGACTAGCTTGATGTGATTTTACAGAGTGTCGGTAAGGAGCTTGTTCATCTTGGCGATCTTGGAAGAAACGCTGAGATCGATGGTCCGGTCACCAATCTCAACAACCAGGCCACCAATAATGTCCGTGTTAACCTGAGGGCGGGAGGCAGTTTCTCGAATCAGCACAGGCACACACGCGCTTATTGTCACATGTATGGCTACGGAGTCATCCAAAGGGAACCTGGGTGGTCAGGATGGGTCTGCGTACCTTGTTGGTGACCTTCAGCTTCTGGCCCTGGCCGACGTAGCTCGACTTGGAGACAGACTTCTCAAGGTTTCCGAGGGTCTTGTTGTCGAGAGGCTGCACAGTTACATCAGTTAGCATGAATAGCTTTGTCACTTGTGATGGCTGGTCTCACGACTGGAGTTGTAAGACATCAAGCCCGTGAGGCGCAAGGGGCAGAGGCAGAAAACGTAGGGGGGTCTCGTACAGTGGCGCTGGTGATGACCATCTCGATCTCGCCACGAGCGGCGCTCATGAGCTCGCCGAACTTGTTGACGACCTCGGGGAGGAGCCCGAGACGGTTGTTCTCGGCGAGGACCTGGAGGAGGTTCTTGACAGTCTCGCTGTTCGAGGAGGACGCCTTGATGAGCTCGGCGACGATGGCGCTCTTGTCCTCGGCCGACAGGGTCGGGGTGCTCAGAACGCGGGCCAGCTTGGCGTCCTGCTTGAAGAGGCCCCCGAGGGAGGCTAGGCTCTTGGCCGTGGGCTCTAGAGATGATGTCTTCACTGCAGCTGTGTACTGTGGATGACGGCAAGAGCGGGTTGTTAGCCGAGTTACTTTTCTTTCCTCCTTCTTTCCTCCTACTTCCCTCCCCTCCACCGGTCGCGCCTCTTCCTCCTGCTCTCACCCCCGCCTCCGTGTACCGCCTCTCTCTCAATCTCGATTCCCCTCTTTATACTCCGGCTCTTGTTGCTGCTCATCATCCAGCCCTCAGCCCCTCATCGGAGGGTCTGGCATGCAGCCGCGACGACAACCAATTGGTGGCTACCAGGGTATTCGAGAGGAGCAGGACAGGTAATTGGGGGCGCTGATTGGGCCCACGGCGGGCTGTTGGGCCAGAAATCGCACGTACAAGGGCGGTGGCATAGGTGCCGTCGAGGCCGAAGAGAGCCACGGGAGGCTTGACGATGTCGTTGTTGGCGGCGGGCGGAGCAGCGTAGAAGCGGACCTGCGACGCAACAGCGCGCTGGGGCGCTGCGGTCCGGGCAGCGCGGAGGATGGCCTGGCGGGACAGCATGGCGGTCAGCTGCGTAGTGGTGTGTCTTGAGCTGGTTGGGATCTCAGTTCTCGGTCGCAGTCAGGCTTGGATCAATCGAGCTCCCTTGCCAGAGGTGTTTTCGGATCCAGTCGGGAAAATGTCGGGACGCTTGGCGTCTGCCATTTGGTCGGGTCACATGATCGCATTCGACCAAACTAAACCCCACCGACAAGGCGACAAAAGTTACGCAGCGCATCAACAGCCATCTTGATTCCACAAGGTAAGTTTAAGATTATGGGAAGTGGCGACCAGAGCGATCGGTATCTGTGGTATGCATTTTATTACTGCCCAGGCCAATATATGCGCCAGACCGTGTGTACACCCCGGCGCGACCGAGGTATATCTGCGAGCCATTCCTTCTTCCGAACGCCTTTGGTACAGGAAAACTAGAAAATCTCAGAAGAAAAAGAAACAGACTGAATCAAACGACAGTTGGTATGACAGAAGGACTGTGAAAAACTAAAACTAAACAATAACCTGAGAAAAAAAGACACCCGGACGAGAGATGGTGCCAACAAAAAGCTGAAGGTGAGGAGTCTGCACACGTGATTTGGTTCTAATCACTCCGCAACATGCTCTCCACGAGATCACCCAGCGGGCCCCAGAAATCTTTGCCGCTTGCGAGGTTGTGCTCATCAATGAAGAGCACGTACTGCTTGAAGCTGGTGTTGAGGTGCGGCTCCAAGCCGAGCTCACGGATCACCGGGTAGTGATGGCAGTAGATATGGGCATAAACACGGTACATGCGCTTGAAAATCTGTCGCACGAGGGCCGGAAACGACTTGGGGAACGGCACGCCGATGCGGCTGGGCAGGACAGCCTCGTTGTCGATGTTGCCTTGCACCCAAGCCATCAGCTGCTCGATGTAAGCCGGCGCCGCCATCTTAGTTGGCCTCTTGAAGTTTTCGTTGTCCTGCCATAGGTACTCGAATCTAGGGTTGGGGTTGAACGTCAGCCAAGTCCAGGCTAACCGAAGCCAGGCAGAACAAGACAGACAGACGGATTGTCCTGGCTACTTACTCGTCCGTTGCCTTCATCTCCGGGCACGATTGTGGGGAGCAGAACTCGGTGATGGCGCCGTATAGTAGGTTTATCTGGTTGTAGAAGTCCACCACTAACGAGAGGGCGTGCGGTTTACTGTTAGCCGCGGCTGCGCTAACATGGGCATGTGTCGTGTCCGTAAACAGGATCCCCAGCACTCACTGTTGACAGCCAGCCACTCGTTCTCGTCCTCGCCCTCAGGCAGCTTCACGACCTTCCTCAAGCTGCCCCCACCCAGAGTTGCCTCGGCATACTGGCGCAGTTGGTAGCTCGTAGCACCTCCCTTGCCTGTTGTGCGTGGTCGGAACTGGTTCCTCGTGCGCTGGTTCCTGTAATAGTCGTCTTGTAAGCCATGACCTCGATACACCACTTCCGGAGCCCGGATCCTTGGGGCGGCGAGAAGAGTAGCCATTCCGTCGATATCTTCAAGGTGTGGGTGTTTAGGATCGTCACCCTTGGTATAGTCGCGGCGGATCCAGTTGAGCATTGCATATAATTCGGGCACAAAGCGGGATAAGAAGGAATAGAAAGGGACAGCGGAGGACAGGAGGGCCGTCAAATTCAACTTACACTGTCGTCAAGAAAGCCGACATATTGTAGACAGTGTGTTTGTTGTTTTTTCTTCACCGCCGTGTCTCAGACTGGCCCAGTTCGACATTCCAGGTCAGCGAAGGAGCCCAAGACATGCGCATGTTCATTGTCCGGGGTCGCCTTTCCCCTTCGATGTTCGTACCAGGTGCACCAATACCGACCAGGATATCTGGGATGGGTCTCTCGACCGATGATCGGTTTGCGCAGGACCTGAGTGGCAGTAGATGATAGGGACGCCCGTCCACTGCTTCTGTGTTGGGTTCGCCGTGGATCTAGGCTTTCGGGATATTCCAAAAGGCGCGAGTGCTAGATGCTCCGCTTGAGAATGTTGGGACGACGTGGGGTCGCCGGAACGCTGCGCCAGATTGTATCACGAATGTGGTCGGGCGCACCCACCCGCTTTGGGTTATGGATGTTTACATGTGTGGGTTGCTAGGAACCCGCAGCTAATCCCTTATCGATAGTGCGGCAGCAAGTGATTGCAGGCCTAGCGGGTCCAACCTTCCCTTGAAAAAATCTTTTCCTCCTAACGGCAGCCAATTAGCGGCCGGCAGGGTCAGGGTTACGAAGGCAAAACTAATCAAAACTGGGTATTTTAAAAACACCAAACCAATATTACCAATTCCCCCGCTTAAAATCAATCGTTGCGCCCTTTACAAGCCCGCGCGCCCCCCGAAAATGATGTTTCCAACGATTATTGCTTTTTTAAAACGCCCCGTAAAAAATATACAACGGTTTTTTTTTTGGTTTAGCAAAATGCCCGTATTAACGGGCAACCCGAATTAAAATATTTCGTAACGTTAAAGTTTTTATAATAATGGCTTATCCCAATATAATTTTATAAATTTGTATAACCAAGCCCCGGGGCATTTTTTATGCCTTTTTTGTTAATTTTATTAACTTTTTCGGTTGTACCGTTTAAAGCTTGTAATTTTTAGCCAAACGGGAAAATATTCGCTTAAAAGGCTTATTTGCTGCGGGCCGCCCGGGGGTGGTTTGTACGGCGGTTTTAACGGTTTTTATAATTTATAATTAAACAATGGTTTAATTTTAGTTAAAAGCGGTTTTGGCCGCCGCGTTTGCGTAATTAAATTGTTTTAAAACGGTTCGGTGCTTGTAAGTAATTGGTTAGTGCGGAACGTATGTGTCAGGAGCACGGACGAGACCGCCCGGCAGAAAGCGGGGAGCGTTAAATGCACGGGCGAAACCGCCCGGCAAAAAGGAGGAAGGGGGCATTGGCATAATTGGCCGGGCACGGACCCTTCCGGTAACGTGCCGGCGAGGTACCGGTATCGCGGCCAAAGCATAATGGCAAAGTTAAAAGATAGGGTAAAGTTTAAATTGTACGAAGGCGCATGGAACGCGGAGGATTTATAAAACCGACCCCGCGTGCCCGAAGGGGCACGAAGGAAGGGAAGGTTAAAAAAGGGACAATTTTTGTTGGCAATAGCACTTTTGGTAAGAGATTTACGGAGGCTTAACAAAGGAAACACCGCATCCGGCCCGTGACCCGGTGACCACCCGCCTTTGCACCGATTAACCTTTAACAGTATGCCCCGCGGTTAAGCTCCGGTAATATTGGTGCTTAAAATGTTCGGAAAGGAATCGGTTCCCCCGTTTGCTTTTGGCTTTAATTGCCCAAAATATTCCCAAATAAAATAAAATGTAACTTTTGCCACAACGCGTTGCCCGCCTTTTTTTAAGCGGTAAATTGCAATAGCGCTAATGCTTTAATAACGGCTTTAAAAATTGCTTCGACCGCTTTAAAGCGCGCGGTTGCAATTTCGATTTGGGCCTTATGGGCCCTCCTCATTTTTTTAGTATATAAACGGAACCGGGGCTTAAATTCCGGTTATATAAAAAATGGTAACGAAAAAAGCTATAAAATATTTTAAGCAAAAAGTTAAAACGGTAACGGGTTATTAACCAAAAAATTTTACGGTTATTTTAAGAAAAGCAATTAAGCTTTTCCGGGTATTTGGGTTAAACCCGGCGAAATTAATTAAATAAAAAGTTAAATTGGAAATGTGCGGGCGTTGTTTTAGCTTATATAATAAAAAAATGCATTAATGGCAAAAAATGCTTGGAATGTAAAGCGGTAACCGGGCAAAACCCGTATTAATATTTTAACCCCCCCTCCCCCCCCAATGCTTAAACTGTTTAAGCCCGTACAAGCCCGGCTACTTTAAGTGCCCGTGCTAACCCAAAGTAATAAATAACCAAATAATGCGCTTGTTGGCCATGCAACGCTAACGGTTTAAAATTTTGGGCAAAATTAAATACAAAAAAGCCCGAAAGCCGGCGTTGCTAAAAGCAATAACGGTTAGCCCCCCCGCGGCTTACTACCCCCGAAAAAAAACTTTAACCACTTTAACCAAAAGAATTCCGAATTTTTTTTTGCCCCGAAAAAGCGCAATTAGGAAAATATTTAAAAAAAGTTGTAATTACCATTTTTAGCAATTTACCAAACAATAAACCGTTTCCAATTCCGGCCAAAAGGTTTAAATTTTTTATAACTGTAGGAAGGACTCTGGGGTGGAGTCCTATGCTCGTGGAGCTCCAAACGGCGTAAAACTGAGGTTTGATAATCATCAAAAGGTAGTCAAATCAAAATGTTGTTATTCAGGTCTAAGGAGGAAGGAATCTTCCTGAAAGAGAGGGACGGATCCGACCTCTTTATATAAGTACAAAGGAGCTCTGGATGGCCGGTGCACAGATCCCGGATCTGTGCATGGCGATCCTCCAAAGCCTGTGCATGCGCCTGACAGGTAGGTTCCAACAATAACCGAAAAAAAAGCCGAAAAGCTAGCATTAGCGTTTAAAAACGCGAAAGCCCCAAAAACCAAACCTTTAACGAACCCGGCCGAATTAACGCCGGTTTGGAACCCAAAATATTACATTATAGCACAAATGTAAATTATAATTACAAAAGCCGGCACAATGGCCGCCCGTTTTAAAAACGAAAGGAAAAATAAAAACCAAATATTAATAATGGTTAAAACATTTGCCAGGCAAAATTGTTACAGTCAGGCCTTTGCTCCTAAGGTAAGGCACCAAAGGAGTATCGAACAATAGCACGTAACTTGACAGATCGAGGGGATTCACAAGGTAACCTGGGTGCGGTTTAAATGCTTGCTCCAAGGGTTACTTGGAAGCTAACTAGAGTTTGACTAATGCCAAAGCCTCAATCAAAAACTACCTAGGACAGTAAAAAACCCTTTCCTTCTTATACCTCAATAACTACTCCCTTGGGGTCGTGGATCAATTGGCTCACAAGGCTAACTCCGTAAGCCTTCCTAAGCCTCCCTTGGATCAGTGGCTCACCTCTCCTGCTTCCCTAATCCACTAATCCCAGGTGGTTACGTAACTCCTTACCCCTTATAGGGTTCCCGCGTCGTGCCACCCCTCCCTCCTGGCCAAAGGTAGTTGTTGGTCGTAACAAAAATTGGTTTATTTTTACCGAAAAGCTTTATTATAAGGTTCCAAAGCTTTAAAGAAAAACAAATTGAGCAAACTTTTAAAAAATCCGCTTTACAATTAACGTTATATTTTTATGCTAAAAAAAGTTAAACCAAGCCTTTAAGCTTTTCCAACGCATAAAAAAAGCAATGGATACGCAAAAAGCCAAATCCACCGGGGTATTAAGGGTCGATCGGTGCAAAGGCGGGTGGTTACCAGGTTACGGGCCGGATACGGTATTTCCTTTATTAAACCTCCGTAAATTTTTTACCAAAAGTGCTATTTCCAACAAAAATTGTTCCTTTTTTAACCTCCTTTTCCCTTGTACCCTTTCGGGCACGCGGGGTCGGTTTTATAAATCCTTTGCGCTCCATGCGCTTTCGTACAATTTAAACTTTACTTTATCTTTTTAATTTCGCTATTATGCTTTGGCCGCGATACCGGCACCTCGCCGGCACGTTACCGGGAAAGTCCGTACTTAGCCAATTGTGCCAATGCCCCCTTTTTCCTTTTTGCCGGGCGGTTTCGCCCGTGCATTTAACGTTCCCCGCTTTTTGCCGGGCGGTTTCGCCCGTGCTCCTAACACGGGGCTTGGAAATTTTATAACAAAATGTGCAAAAAAGCAAAAAAACCCGATTTATTGGAAAAGGAACACGCGTAAACCTTTATAAATAACCAAGTTACCGCTATAATTACAACGCTAACAACGTATTGCTCGGTTAATAAATGCGGGGTAACAAAAGCGGCCCGGAACGCGTTCCAATGGACGGCAAAAAACCTGGGGTAAAACTTTACCACAAAAGCAATCCGAAGCGAAAAAGTGCCAAAGGGAGCGGCAATTTTAACGCCCGAATTAAAAGGAATAAAAGCAATAATAAATGCTTTAGCAATTGGGCTGGATTGGACGGCCGTCCAAATCGCAATCCAAAAAAAGCAAAGTAAAAAAAAAACCAACAAACCCATATTTACCAAAACTTTGCAAAATATAATTGCTAAAAAATAGCGTTTAAAACCCCCCGTTTTACAACCGAATAACCCAAGCACCATTTGGGGTTAAAATGGTAATGGAAAATATAAAACGAAATTTAATAATTACCAACGGATTATTGGAATATGTTTGTTACAAAAAGGCGAACGTAATGTGCATTGCAAAATTAGCAATAATAAAAAGCAATAAATTGCGCCGGCATTCCGCGTAAGTATTGGTAGCGAAAAAAAGCCCGAAATGCAAAGCAATAATGTTCGTTAGCAAGCACGTAACCGGTTGGATATTTAAAAAAAAATTACGGTACCATTTAATGTTAATCCAAATGGGCGATACTATAGTTACCACGTTATATTAGCGTTTAACCGCAGGCAAAAACCGAAAAGCTAAAATATAATGCAACAAATTGTTAGGGGTTAATCGGTGCAGAGGCGGGTGGTTACCGGGTTACGGGCCGGATGCGGTATTGTTAAAAGCACGGGCGAAACCGCCCGGCAGAAAGCGGGGAGCGTTAAATGCACGGGCGAAACCGCCCGGCAAAAAAGGAGGAAGGGGGCGTTGGCAGCCAGCCGGGCACGGACCCCCCGGGGACATGCCGGCGAGTTACCGGTGTCGCGGCCAAAGCATAATGGCGAAATTAAAAGATAGGGTAAAGCTTAAATTGCACGAAAGCGCTTAAAGCGCGAAAAATTTAAAAAACCAACCCCAAATGCCCAAAAGGGTACAAAAAAGGGGAAGGTTAAAAAAAAACAATTTTTATTGGCGATAGCACTTTTGGTAAAAAATTTACGGAAATTTAACAAAAAAAATACCGTATTCGGCCCGTAACCCGGTAACCACCCGCTTTTGCACCGATTAACTTTTAACATATTGTTTTTTTTTTACACCTTTTTTATTTAGGGAGCAAGCCCGGGTAATTACCGGAAAGGATCGAACAAGCTTGAAAAAGGCATTTGCAACCTTGCACCGCTTACAATAACGCTTAACGCTACGTCGAGCACGTTGGAAAGGGCCGTTGGGCTACCGGAACAAAATATTAAAGGAATTTCGCAAATTTCCAACGATTTTAAAAACCTTTCCGTAAAAAAGCTACAAAAAATAAACGACGCGCTAAAAGCCCAAAGCAAGCGCGCCCGCTTAATTTAAAAAATCCAAAATAAAAGGTTAAAGCATGCGCATAAAGGTTTAAACGAAAATAAAAAAAATACTTTTAAACAACGGAAAGGTTTTACGTAAAACAAAATTACTTTTAAACCTTTTATATTTAAAAAGTCGGCAATTTGGCAAAATATCGCCCATTATATTAGCAATTACAAATTTATTTTTGAAAACGAAAAGGAACGTTACGGTAAAAACCGTATAAAGGTCCAAATAGCTTCCAGCACTTTTAACCATTATCGGCGGGCATAATAAACAAAATATACATAAATGCATTATTTAAATACCGGGGTATCGTTTATTTAAGCCGATTTTTTGCGGTAATTTTAAGCAAAGTCGAAAAATCCCAATTCGCGGATATAACTAGCAATTAAAAAGTTCGCAAAAAATATTGCTATTAAATAAAAAAATTACGAATCGTTTAAAACGTTCCGGATTTGCTAGGATTTAATAAAAAAATAACCTTTCCGAATTAGCACCCGAATGGATAAAAACGATATTGCTTTTTAACCGGTTCCGCCCCGAAATTTAAAAACGGGTAATATTTAAAAACCTTTTTTATATTATAGAAAAATTGCAAGCTAAAGCCTTTAAAGCAAAAATAATATCGGAACCGCATAAAGGGACCCCGGGGGATATAAATGTTCCAACTTTTAAAAAGCCGGTTACTTGCTTTAAGTGCGGGCAATTAAGCTATATCGCTGCAGCATGCAAAATACGAACGAACAACCCGAAAACCCCGTTAGCCCCAGCAATTACATAAGGGGCGAAGGGGAAAAGGCCCGAAATACGGTATTACGGGTGTAAAAAGCTGGGCCATATCCGGCCGGCGTGCTTTAAAAAAAGCAAAATATCGTTATTTAATTCGATACCGCTATTTGGCCGTTTAAGTACCGGGGCTTAAAAGTACGCCCCGGCGGTTAAAACGCGTTAAAAAACCGAAGTATATTTACGAATTAACGGTTGCCGGGTAAAGTTAAAAGCGTTGGTTAATAATAAAAGCAACGTTAATTTATTGCATAGCCGTTTTTTAATAAAAGCAAAAAAAATACCGGTGCCAAACGGGGGCTACCTGGCATGGTTCGATACTAAAAAACGCATGCTTACGCTAAAGGTAAAGAAATACAAAATTTAAGTAACGGATAATTAGGGAATAACCCGAAAGTTAATGGTATTTTACGTAATAATGCCCCGGGCCGGGTACAACATTACGTTAAGCATGCTTTGGTTCCAGCAAAAGGATATTAAAATCCGGTTTAAAAATATAAAGTAAAGGTTTTTGGTAATTACTAAAAAGGTTAAAATAATTTCGTTAAAAATAGCTAAAAAGCTAATCCAATCGGGATAAGCGATAGCCGTATTAACGGTTGCACGCCCGGAAACCCCGGAAAACCTTAAAAAAAGGCTAAAAGCTTTCCCGGAATAAATTAAAAAAATAATTGCAAAATATGCGCAATTTTATAAATTAAACCCTTTGCTAAAATATATAAGCTAAAATTACGCGATCGAATTGGAAAAGGAAACGATGCCGCTTTACGGAAGCATTTATTTTTTATCCAAAAAGGAATTAAAAACCTTTCGGGGGTACTTCGACGAAACCATAACGAAAGGTTAAATCCGGCATTTAACCAGCCCCGCCGGCGCCGGGATTTTGTTCGTTTTAAAAAAGGACGGGAAGTTTCGCCTTTATATTAATTATCGGGGTTTTAATAAGGTTATTAAAAAAAACCGGCTAACATTTTCGCTAATTTACGAAATATTCGACCGGGTATTTAAAAGCCAATATTTTACCAAGCTGGATTTAAAAAACGTTTATTACAGGATACGGATCCAACAAAAAAACGAATGGAAAATTGCTTTTCGCTGCAAGTATAAACATTACGAATACTTAATAATACCTTTCGGTTTGGCCAACGCTTTAATAACGTTTTAAAGCTTTATTAATATAGCGTTTAAAAAATTAATTAATAGCAATTGCATCGTATATTTGGACGATATTTTTATTTTTTTAAAAATATAAAAAAAGCACCGCGAAGCAATAAAAACGGTACTAAAGCGATTCGAACGGTTTAAGCTTTACGTTAGCCCGGCCAAATGCGAATTTAAAACGGATAATATCGACTTTTTAAAGTTTAGGATAACCAAATTCGGGGTCGAAATTTTATTAAATAAAATTATTGCAATTTTAAAATAAAGGATACCGGAAAGCGTTAAGGATATTTAAATATTTTTGGGCTTTACGGGGTATTATTGGAAATTCGTAAAGGGTTACGCGAAAATTACTGTGCTTTTAACAAACCTTTTTAGCAAAAACACCGTATTTTATTTAAAAAATATTGCAAAAAAGGCTTTTTGCAAATTAAAGCTATTATTTACGAAAGCTTTGGTATTAATGCATTTTAACCCTTCGAAACCGTTGTACGTACGAACCAACGCTTTGGCTTTTGCGATAAAAGCGGTGCTATTGCAATTACAAAACGGCCGGTAGCACCCGATAACTTACATGTCGAAAAAGTTGCAACAAAAAAAGCTGCGCTATGCAATTTTTAATTTAAAATTGCTAGCAATCGTAAAAGTTTTCGAAAAGTAACGGTATTATTTAGCTTATTTACAAAAAATTGTTAAAATAATTACCAACCATTTAAACCATACCCATATTTTAATAAAAAAAAAGGTAATAAAGCGTTAAGCAAAATGGTTCGAAAATTTAGCAAAGTACAATTTTACGATTAAATGGAAGCCAAAATACCGGAACCCCGCGGATAGCTTGTTAAAACGTTTTTAAAATATATTTATAAACGGGGAAGCCAATAAAGCAAAAAAAAAATTCCGAAACGATTTGTTAGCCAAATTCCGAAAAATAGCTTACGTAAGGACAACCACCATTAAAAAGGATACCAAAACGATATTGGAACGCATCCTCGAAGCACAAATAAAAAACGATTTTGTTTAAAACGGTATTTGGAAAAGCAAACCCAACGTTTAAAAGATTAGCAACGGCTTGCTTAAGCATAAAAAAAAAGTTTAAATCCCAAATTTAGCGCCGTTACAACGGGCAATGCTTTAAAAACAATACGATAGCCCAACGGGGGGTTACAAAAGCATGGCCAAAACTTTAAAAAAGTTTAAACGGCAATTTAAATGGCTGGGTATAGCTAAAAACGTACGCGAATACGTACGGACGTATTAAATATACTAGCAAACGAAGCCAAAAATATAAACACTTTACGGGCTACTAGCATTTTTGCCCGTACCAAACCGCCCGGGATAAAAGCTATCGATGGATTTTATCGGAAAATTTTTAACGTTGGTAAATGGAACCGGCAAAAAGCGCAACGCAATATTGGTAATGGTTAACCGGTTTACCAAATATAGCTTTTTTATTCCAACGTTTACAAAATTAACCAGTAAAAAATTGGGAAGCTTTTTATTTGCATACGTTTAAAAGTTATTAAAAATGCCCGAAAGGATTATATCGAACCGGAATAAATTATTTACAAACGGGTTTTAAACAATTTTTGCCGAACATTTAAAAGTTAAAAGAAGGTTGTTAATAGCATACCACCTTTAAACCGACGGGCAAATGGAACGAACAAACCAAACAATAAAGCATTACTTCCGGTGCTTTTGCTACAAAAAGCAAAACGATTGGGCGTTATTATTGCATTTGGCAGCGTAAATGCACAATACGAACGTGCATTCGGGATCGCAAAAAACCCCGGCGTTTTTGCTAATGGGGTTTTACTTACGAAAGCTTTATAACTTTCGGGTAATTAAAAAAAAACCTTTGGCAACGGTTAAAATTAAAGCGGAGGCTTTGGAAACAATTAAAAAGCAAGCTAAAAAATTGCTAAAAAAACAAATAATATGTACAAAAAGTACTATAATAAAAGCAGGACCCCGGTGCCTTTTGGGGTAAGCAATTGGGTATTGCTAAATACGGCGAACATTAAAATAAAAAGGCCGTCGAAAAAGCTATCGAACAAATGGTTAGGACCTTTCCAAGTTTTAAAAATGGTTGGGTTAGCCGGTTTGGCGTTTCGGTTAAAGCTTTCGGTAAGTTACCAAATACATAACGTATTCCTAACAAATTTGTTGCGGGCGTTTAAAAAAAAAGCCCGGCGAAAAACCAAAAATAAAAGCCAAAATCG